TCGAAGGTTCGTAGGTTGTTCATAAATATTTTGTATTAACCACAACTTTACCTTTCAATTCATATGTAGAGTCATTGTTAACAAGCATATATCGATTTCTCCCAGCGATTAGAGTTCTCTTCATATTAATTGTTGTCAAGCACATGATTCGACGGGTCTGTATAAAATTCAAGCCTATGAACCTGATTTTTGTTGGACAGAGAGCATGTAAAAGAAATAATTTACATCTTTACATCAACCTCTCCCAACAAGTTAAATTATTTGGACCGCAAAGTTTGATGGGATTGGGCAAAGGAGCGGGGAGAGGGGACATGGAAAAACATCAACGGCTCTTAATAATTCATCATCACCAACATTCGTTCATAATCATCGCCACTGAATGGAAGTAAGTAAGTGAGTAACTAGCTAGAAGAAACCAGCCACCACCATAGATCCAAAAAAGCTCCATCGTATCGTTGGTTTGGACTTGGACTGTCCCTGCCGACTACCAGATTCGCTCCTCAATTTGCGGCTGTCGGAACGTAAACCATTTACGGCCTTCTCTTCTGTGTCTTCTCTTCCCCGTCCCTTTAGTACTACTTTCGCGATCTTTGCATATAGAAGGCCACTTTGGACTTTGGAGTGTTGTGTTGGTGACTCATGGCAGCAGCAGAAGCCTGACTTTTTGGTTGCTTTCCGATGGATCAGGAAAATCCATAAAGGAGAAAGAAAAAAAAAAGCGACTGTCGCCATTTGTCGGGAAGACCCACGGGAGCGGTTTACTGTTATTTAGCAGTTAGATGGGTTTCAATGATTCTGCTCGATCTGGTTTTCCTCTTCTTTTTCTACCTTTTCTTCACCCCCTTTTTTTTTTATGAAGTTGGTTTTTGGGTTTGTTTGATTCTGGAATAAGTCATCTCGATCGAGATTGATATCATTGTAGCTTTTCTGATTGTGTATCATGGTGGACTTTATCGTGTAACATATACACATATGAACCAATGAATTCAGTTTTAAAAAATCTATCCACGAGATGAGTTCGTATAACATGCTTTTTTGGCCAGTCAACATATATAAGAGACTGATGAATCACGTTTGTGATACATAATGAGTTCTTCAAGTGGAAAAGGTAGAGAAACAAACTGTCATTCATTATATCTCATAGTAGGTTGAATATGTAGGAAGTTAAAATAGAATGTTATTTGTCGACTGTATATTTCTCTATAGTTGCATTTGTATCGGGTATTTCTACATATCAAGTCTTTTCCCCCCTGTGTGAGGTCTTATATTTGTTTGAATCATATAAGTTCAAATAGCAAGTCATAAACCAACTTGTTTTAATAAGTCGTGTTGTTGTGAGAAATTCATTTATAGATCTCAACATATGAAAAATAGGGGTGGAGAATGAAGAATTAAAAGGATGTATATGTGACGAAAAAAATTATAATTGTTTATTTTTGTCTTATATTGTACCTCTTTAGAGTTAAGTTCCAACTTGCAACAATAATCAAGAAATAAACTCATTCACTTCAACTCTGGATGGTCAAAAGTACTCACCAACTAGTGTATTCTCAAGTATTGGCTCCAAAGTCAATTCACCTACTAATTAACAAAACATGCGTAAATGGAAAAGAAAAGAAAAACATTTTGCTCCATTGTTTTAAATCACCATGAAATAGGGTTGTATAATGATTCTGTCCATATCGAACCACATCAATATTTACATACCAAATAAGTTTAAATATAATTTTGGTTTATTTATCAGCTCCATAAATTTTTTGAATATTAAAAAAATGAAATTGAATCAAATTTTGGATTACAGATTATATTTAAATATACTTTTGATCTGAATACAAAAAAAATTAATTTATTTTAAACTAGTTCCATCCTGATGCGATCCGATTTTAAATCGAATCAAATTATTGCACACCTCTAATTAGGGGTGGGCAACGAGCGGGTTGGGTGGGTTTCGGTTTTAAATTGACTCATTCGCTTACTAGCGGGTTGGCATAATTGTGACCCGCAATCCACCCACATACTTCTGCGGGTTGGGTTGGGTGCGTGGCGGATGTGTGCGGTTGGGTCGCGGGTCAACCCGCAAAAGCAATTCTCCATCTAGCCATTAAGAAAGTTGACTAACATTTATAATAAGTTCATAGTCAATTAGCAACACTGTATCAATAATTTGTGATTTTGATACAATTAATAATTTAGGACTTTGCTACGGTGACATGCATGTCACGGTGACATGCACTTTTCGGTCGACCTCATATAGGACCAGGTCGACCTAATCAGTTGTTTCAGTGTACAAACAGTTTCATGGTGCCTACTTTGGAGATTCATATCTTACAATTGGCTAGATGGAAATTGGAGATTAAAGGCTTGTTTTGAAGCTGAAGTGTCCCTCTACACATTAAAGTACTTGGGAGCTCAATAGAAAGTCCAGAAGACCATTTTTGAACCTGACCAAAAGGCTATGCCAAAACTGGGAAACTGCCTGAAAATGGCTAAGTCTGGCAACGTGTTTGTCAAGCCTACTATGGAGCTCAATTTGACAAGCATGGATGCGAGTCAAGTCCAGGGGCCTTTACCACGTTAAATTACGTATTTTTTTATACAAAGGCAAGACATTGAATGAAAGATTGAATATCTTTAAGGCTTCAAACAAAAGGCTCGAAGTTGCTACGAAGGCTGTTTTTTCTGGCAGCTTGCTTGTGCTCGAAGTCTGCCAGAAAAACAGCCTTCGTAGCAACTTCGACCCTTTTGTTTGAAGCCTTAAAGATATCCAATCTTTCATCCAATTCCTTGAATTTGTATAAAAACATACCTAATTTAACGTGGTAGAGGCTCCTAGACTCGACTCGCATTCATGCTTCTCGAATTGAGCTCAAAAATAGGCTTCACAAACACGTTTCCAGACTTAGCCATTTCTAGGCAGTTTCCCAGTTTTGGCATAGCCTTTTGACGAGGTCCAAAAATGGTCTTCTGGACTTCCTATCGAGCTCTCAATCACTTCAATATGTAGAGGGATACTCCAGCTTCAAAACAAGTCATTAGTCTTCAATTTCCATCTAGCCAATTGTATGATATGAATATCCAAAGTAGGCACCATGAACTGTTTTTACACTGAAACAACATATTAGGTCGACCGGATCCTATATGAGGTCGACCGAATCCTAAATGAGGTCGACCGGATCCTATATGAGGTCGACCGAATCCTATGTGAGGTCGACCTAATCCTAACTGAGGTCGACCGGAAAGTGCAAGTCACCGTGACATGCATGTCACCGTAGGCACACCCAATAATTTATAGTTTGCATCCCAATATTTAATGGTTATTAACAATAATCTGCATACCAATATCCAATATCTAATGAATATTGCACAACACAATGACCAATAATAGTAGTCAAAACTATTATTTATTCTTCACCTTTTGAAGTATATGGTCAGACTGTAGTGCAGTTCGAAAATATGATGAATATTTGATACCATAAGAAACAAAAAAAATTCATGTAAAATAGGATGCAAGTCATATGGGTGACCCGCAATCCACCCACTACCCACCCACACAAGTGTGGGTGGGAGATTTACCAATCCGCGATCCACCCACATCAATCATCTACTGCATGCAGGTCGGGTTATTTGCGAATGGATCGATATCAATCCGCGGATTAACCACCCACGTGCCCACCCCTACCTCTAATCCTGACAAACACAAACGTGCAAGTAAAATGAAAGTGGGAACTTCATGGATGAGCCTGGATGTTTCAATTGGGCCTTGTGGTTAGGTTGGGCTACTCTTGGTTGATGAATCAACAAAGAGGAGTGAATTGAGTGGATCTTTGTTAAGGCCTTGTTGGACCGAAAAGTCAAAGGTTGCCTTGAAAAGATTGCATGAATCAGGCAGGCCTGGATCAACATAGTCTAAGACTTGACCAGCCCAGCAAACCGAGCCCAAGACAATGGGTTGTGTTAGGAGAAGCGAGCCTCCGATTCCAAATGGTATATTCTCAGTATACACATGTATCATAAGAATACAACGTTTTTTTTACTTGATGTAATGGCAGAATGCATATATTCATAATACATATTGTATTCATAATACATAGAAAATGATGTATTTATAATCTTACCTTTTTGGTGAGATTTGAGTATCCATAGTTCATTTAAACTATAATACATGCATTCTTTTATGAGTTCCAGACAATGAATTTTCAAAACCACACATTCTTAGTATATATATACACATAATCTTTAATACATACATTCTCGTAAATACATCATTTCCAGAATCGAAGGTTCCAAACAACCCCTAAGTATCGTTTGAAACCTGCGAAATATGACGTTTTTTTATTTGTTTTAATCACGAATACATTTATAGAGAATACACGATGTATTCATAATACATAGAAAATGATGTATACTTAATCTTACTATAGAATGAATACTTTAATAATACAAAAAAATATAATTTTGTATTCTAAAGCGTCGTTAATTCAAATATCATAATTATCATCTTACAACTTATAATTAAGTTCGGTGTCTTAACAACATAGTGCGACTCTACAGTAATATATATATTTGAGTATCGTCAAATCCGATTCCGATCGAGAGCATTATTTTTCTCAATCTTTACTTTATAGGCAATGCATGTGCATGCATGGCACTCTGAACCGACTGATCGTACCATGACGTCGACGGGATGTATATATGTCTACAATGTTAATTCCTGGTCGCGTGAGCCGTCGGCAGGCTGGCAAGCCGTCGGCACGTTATTTCTGTTTATACCCGCGCGTGTGTATAGGAAACTGGCTGCGCGTGGGATAGGGCTTATTGTGTCTCTAGTCAGCAGTTGCAATAATGGGAAAATTCCACCAGATGGTTGCTCACAGTCACAGCTTAAGCCAAATAACATGCAATCTATGCCCCACTGGCCACTGTAATCTAATCCTTCCACTGAATTAGGTCCCAATTCCCAAAGCTTCGTCTCCAGAAGTCCCGATTCTTCCTCCCCTCTGGGTCCGCTTGATTTTGGCGGGTAAGTTCTGTATCCATCAACCAGCTGATTTTGGCTTGTTCTCTGCAGCTCTGCTTTCTTCTCTGGCTTCTGCTATGTGAATTTCTATTTTCGATCTTTGCTGAAGTCGTTTCATAAAATTCCGCTGCAGATTCTGCTCTGGAGAAGAGGGAAGCTTGTTGGGTCGTATCAGAGTTGATCAAAAGATTGCTCTGGAGTGAAAAAGTAAGAACATTTTCTCACCAATTTTTTTTAATCTTTGATTCTCCCATGGCTCCATGCTTAATTATTTACGGTTACCTGCTCTCAAAGTTTGCAAAACCCTGTTTCATGCTCCATTGGTGTAGTGGGCTAGGAATGAACAACAGCAATTTTTGGGATTGCATAGATGAACTAGTACAGAGATCCCATACAACCTTACCAAATTGCTGTCTGTCTGTCTGTCTGTCTAGAGTGAGCTACATTCCCTAGAGGTCACAGAGACAGGCACAGCACAATTAGGCGATTTTCTATCTAGAATCAAAGCTAGCCCTGATATGAGATGAGATGTGACGAGACAGAGGACCACTGAAATTTATGGACCTTGGGATGATAATTCTATTATTTACGTCCTCTGACTTTTTTATCTTATCTCCTCTAACCCAAATATTGGCATTTTCTTTGCAAATGGGAATGAATCCTAAGGCCATTTATCTCTGTGGTAGCTAGGTATTGAAGTGAAGAAATGGTACTAGGTTGCTGATATACTTTATATGCACTTCTTCTTCTTCTTCTCTTGATCAAGTCTCCAGGTTCCCAATCCGCAAAACCATGTCTCCTGGTGGTGGGTATACAATTGAAGTAACAAGCTTGTCTCATAAAGCTACAGAGAAGGATGTCCGCGATTTCTTCACTCACTGTGGTACAGTTGAGAACATCGAAATCATCAGGTAAATGTATCCTTTAAGTAGAATCCTAATTAATGCTCGTTCACGCATTGGATTACCCGACTCTTGACGACTCAGGCACTATCTTTTCCATACCCGTTCTGCTGTTTGAGCTTCTGAGCTCGGCCGGATTGCAGCATGTGTTATTTGACACCTTTGAGTCTGTTCTCCCCCCCTTAAGTCTGTCTTGCATTTTCATCTGATGCTTTTGTTAACATATGCTGAGTTGTTTGTGGAGACAGATCTGGTGAATACGCTTGCACTGCGTATGTGACATTTAGAGATCCCTATGCTCTTGAAACTGCCATCCTCCTCAGCGTAAGTTCCCATTTTGCATGTTGCAGACAGTGGAAAACATACATAATTTGATGCGGATGGTTCTCTCAAATCCCTATTTTACTGCTAGTTTCTTTTGCCTGTTCTCTTTATATGGTCTGTAATTTGTACGCATTATGCAATATAGTGACAATTAGTTAGCCAAGCCATCTATCTTCCTGCTTTCCCATCAGTCTAATAGTCCAATCTTGTCTAATGCTACTCTTTTCCTTCAGGGAGCTAGAATTGCAGATCAACCTGTGTGCATTTCACTTTGGGGCACCCAGATATGTGAATCTGACAATCCTTGGAACAGCCCTTCCTGGCAACCTGAAGGCAGAGCTTACCATGAGGTTTTGCCTTCAATTACACACTCATCCTCTTGCATTTTGGTTTTACTCCCCTAATCTCTCAACCACATTTCTCCAATCTCGACAGGCAACTCATCATGTGAACCACTTGGGTTCCAGCCCAGGGGAAGCCGTGACAGTGGCACAAGAAGTGGTGAAAACGATGCTGGCAAAAGGATACGTCTTGGGGAAAGACGCGCTGGTGAAGGCCAGAGCGCTGGACGAATCCCACAAGGTGACGGCTGTTGCTGCAGCGAAAGTGGCCGAGCTCAGCAGCAGAATTGGGCTGACGGAGTCGATACAATCGGGGATGGAGACTGCGAGATTTATCGACGAGAAGTACCACGTCTCGGACATCACGAAGACGGCGGTGCTGTACACGGGAGCGGCAGCCGTGACTGCTGCCACCATCACGGGCCGGACTGCAGCTGCCGCGGCCCATGCGGTGGTGAACAGCAGTTCTTCGCCCAGGGTGCGGTCTGGGTCTCGGATGTTCTGGGCCGTGCGGCCCATGCAGCCGCGGAGTTTGGACATAAAGAGGGCAAGTAGGGAATGGAGAAATGGAAGATAGTTGTGTGTGTTTTGGTGAATAAAAAATGGTCCATTGTTTCATTGTTTGTATCATTTTTTACTAGCCTATCTCTACGCATGAATGATGTTAAAATGATGTTAAAAATCAAGTCTAATCTGTTAGTGTTGTGGTATATGATACACGATTGAACCTCTCCCAACAACTTGAGTTATTGGTATCAACTGGTTCTTGACATGGTATCAGAGCTTTCTGTGACCGAGAGGTCTTGTGTTCGATTCCCGATGACCCCCATTTGTTAAGTACATGGTATTCTTGTCTTCAAACCTGTGCAAACTTCAAGCTCTTGTGAGTGGCTTTCGTTTGAGGGGCGTGTTAGTGTTGTGGTATATGATCTACTAGGCTGATATATGCTTTTGGAATGACACAATCAATGCAATCCATATAGGAAGGAGAGAATCTTTTGTTTAGCATTTCATTTGGGTGTAAAGTGGAGGTATGTAGTGTTGTTGTCTTCTAAGAAGGACCACTGTCACTCACATGGCCACACGATATGGGTACCCATGAACCTGCGAATACCCAACGGGTTGGGTTTGAGTTTTTCAAATCTAGTGGGTTTTACCCTAAATTTTTTTAGTGGATAAACCTATGAGTTTGACGTAACCCGCCCCAACCATCCCTACTTATCACCTTACATTCAGATTATTAAAATATTAAAATTTTACCATATATGAGGTTAAATCGCTCAAACTCCAATCCGACCAATGAATTTTCAAACCATTTGTTTCACCCATTAAACGGCTTCAAACCTCCACCAGTTTTTCCTTTCCATTGCTTTGACTCCAACTTCAGGTTTTCTAAGAAGAAACATCTGACTTGAGTTTGAACTTAAACCACGGTTTTATAGAATCATTCGAGCCTTTTTGATGGAAGAGCAGAAGATTGTGAAGAAGGTTTTGAAGATTCAGCAGGCGAAGGAAAAGCAGGTCTCGAAGAGCTAAGAGCTGGCTGCCTTAAGGTAGGTGAGTCTTTTGGGAGTTTACAAGACACAAGTTTGACAGGAATTTTGATGTAATTGTTGAGGGTGTTATGATTACACAGAGTGTTGGATGTAACTCAATATTTAGCACGTTTTGGTGCCCTTCGCAGCAGCCAGTTATGTTGTTTTTCATTACTATCTCTGAGGGAATGATATATACTTTGTTAGAGAGTATTATGAAAGTGCCTAGTTATGCAGTTCACGAGACTTAAATATGATTCCCAATTCAGTTGCAGCAAGAATATCACACTCAACTTCCATAAAAGATATCATGCATGGCCGAAATGCTTAGAACTCTGCCTCAGTAGATGGATTATACTTCCCTGCTTCATTAGGCTGCGTACAGGAATGGTTCTGTTAGTAGAGTAGGCTGAAATCGCATCCCATTACTCTGAATGAACTTAGTGCTCTCATTTTATTTCATCCGAATTCAGATTGAGCAAGAATACCCACTTCCACAGATTCAAGCTATACATGAACTTTAGGATGAAGTGGGCTGATAGCATCTTTGCATGTGGCTGATACTATAGTGATACGCCATGGTCATGGAATGATTTGGTAGAGGGAAAACTAAAAAACAAAACATTTGTCAAGAGTGGGATTTGAACCCACGCCCTTTCGGACCAGTACCTGAAACTGGCGCCTTAGACCAACTCGGCCATCTTGACGTTGATGTTCAATTATGATAACTTGTAATTAGAAATATATGCTGCAGCATCAGACACATAAGACATGGAGGATAAATTGAAATAGGAATATTGCAAGGGGACTTTAGTTATGGTCATTTTCTTTGTAAGGACAAAAAAAGTAGGAAGTAGGAACCACCAGTTTGATGAAGACTAAAAATAGTTATCCTATTATGATATTATATATATCATAGATGATAAAAAAAAAAAAACAAATCTGTACTAAAAGTATTTATTCGTCAAGTTTGTAAATTAATATATATATATAAAGCTCAAACATGTTTATTGTTGCCTAATACTTCCATTTGATTGGACCATCTGTTTCTTAATAAATTCATTTGATTGGACCATGTTTATGGGCTTTTATCATGTATCCGCTCCGTTTTATGTTTGCGGCCAATTAATTGGCGAAACTAAAAGGGAAGACAATTTTGAGTATTATGGGAGAAGATAAGACTTTGGGGAAGAAAAAGTGAATGGGTGAAGCAAGATTGTCAAACCGGTTAGCAAGTGGTATGATTTGAATGGGATACAACTGATTTATATCAATTTAACATAATATATAAAAATACGAAAACTTATTAACATTCAGTGAACATATGTGAATACAATCTACATTTATATATTGTTTTAACAAAATATATTGAAATATGACAAATCAATAACATTAACTAAATTCAATAATCATATATAAAACATAATTGAATACAATCTACATTCATATATAAATAAAATACAATATTACAAATAAAATAAAAAATACTCATATTTAAATACAATATTTAACGTGAACATCCGAATGTTTATATTTGAACCCAACAAATAGCATCGACATTTAATTTTCAAATTCATGATCATGTAATAAATAAAAAATTAATTTTTTGATAATTAAATTTTATAAAATGACATTATTTTGTTTAGAGGTCAGAAATCGATCATATCGATAATATTCCAACCATTTTCCTAATCGGCACCAATTATACTCACTTTTACTGTCTGACATCCATCTACATGACAACCATGAGTAGAGGCGAGTACGCCGTGCATCATCCGCAACATACTCAAGATAAAATATGACATAGATGATGTAAATTAAAAATGGAACAACTAATATCAATACAAGTATGCCATCGTCCGCGGCATAGCGCGGGGTTTTTTCTAGCTTTATTTGTAAATGTGATTAAACTTACTGTTACTTTTTGCATGACTTATAAGTTATAACTCAAATTCATAATCCTAACTCTTGCTACTATAACTTCCATAGTGAAATAGTGAAATTCCCCAAAGTACATAACCCTAATATAATTCATTCATCAAAAGCATCCGGATTGTCTTTAATCCTCATAATAATAATCAAATTATTTATTCTTGTATCTCTTTCTCTCGATTCAAACCCATAAGCACTTTACAACCTTATGATATATGAAATCAAACAAACAAACCAAATTTGTTCCAACATTAAACTCTCCCAATTAGCCAACCGCTCAAAAGTTGATCTTGCCATCAAAAGTCTGCCCAAACTGCCAACTCGCCGGCGCCACGTCACGAAACACCTTGAACGCCCCGTCGCTCGTCACCACCTGAAAAGTCAACGCCTGGCCCCTCAAGTCAACCCCCTTGGTGTCCCACTTCTGCCCCCAATTCCTCTGCATCTGAATCCAACCCGTATTTGACCCTTTTACCCTCACGTTGTTCACGTCGCCGGCCCCGCCAACGTTGTAGACCAGCACCAGGTTCCAGTTCGGGTTCCCGGTGATCTCGAACTTCACGCCTCCCTGTTTCCCGCACCGGACCCGGCGGTAGCTGACGTGGACGACGCCGGCGACGGCGGGGGCCAGCTTGACGAACATGGGCATGGTGAGGTCGAAGTGCCTCGCCGGCGGGTCGCACCAGCCGCCGGTGGAGTGCGGCGGGCAGAGGTTTGTGGCGGTGATTTGGATTGTGGGGGCGTTTTGGTAGCAGCCTTTCCACGTGGCGTCGTTGACGCATTTCAGCTCGTAGCATGCTCCGCAGGTCAGTCCGTCGTTGAAGAGCGGAGTACTGAGGGCCGCCGTCTCGACGCCGTAGCCTTTCTGGAATACGTCGCCGTATCCGCACGCTCCCTCTGTGTTTGAGTACGTAGTATACAAATTTTTAAGGTTGTACATTTACAAATTTAAATTGATAATGATGACATATATAGAATTGGCAATACACATATATGTTTAAAAAAGCTTTGATACAAGAAATTAAATATTTATGACACTTACAAATGTTTTGTTATATTTTTATATTTTTCGAAAATTTCATGTATACACAAGAAGGATAGATCGATTAGAGTTGATGAGATTCAAATGATTAATAATTTAAAAATTACCGTTGTAATTTGGATATCCTTCTCAGGGCTCTTGGGACTCAAATCAATCAGCTCAAAATTGTCATTTTAATTTGGGCATCGTTAAATCAAATTGTGTTATTGATTGAAATTATATCTAGCTAGACAAAACCACGATATATTAAGTAATTAGTTTGCTAACCCATTTGATGTAACTACACAATTGCACTATCGGTGTCAATTCAAGTTAATGGTGATTACGATTATGGATAAATTAATGAAGGCTTACGGAGTGTATCTCTTGCAGACATGTCGCCATAAAACGTTGCATGGGCATCCTGCCACGTCCAATCATTATTGTCTTGCGTACTAATTGTCGCCACCTTCCCACGCACAACCATATTAGTTTGTAAACTTCCAGTCAGCAACACAATTATCGGACACAACACGAATATTTTAAAGAGGTAAGCCATAGTTTTTGGTTTCGTACTGGATTATAATAACTAAGATGGAGATTATATTACTGTAGAAGTAATCGTTTGGCTATATGGCTAAGGTGTTTGGTAAAGTTCAAATTTATAGGATTAATCCTCTAGTAGATGAAACAATGGGGGAGGTATATTAGGGAAGAAATATATATATAATTAATGGAAGGCACACCTCAATCTTATATTCGAAACATTTATTTTCTTCTCATAAACTTCTTTTTTGTTTGGAAATATTTTAATTAATTATATTAAGTAATTAGGAAACTATATAATATTATTCCAAAATGCAAAATTGTGCATGCATGTATATTAATTTAATCAAATTCTTACCGAAAGATGTAAGTTGATTTCTTTTGTTTTTATTTATTGATTTTCTTACCAAGTGTTTCTTTGATTTGTCTTCTGATTTGTTTGCATGTTTTGCTTTGTGATACGGTGACCAAGATTTGGTGGACAATTAAGGTCTAAGAAAATGCTCGATCTAGTGTGTGTTTTTTAGCAAATTATTGAGCCTAATTCTTACCGTATGATTAATTTTTAAATTTTTATACATTGTTTCTTTTGAGAATAAGGTAAACGTCCCAGGCCCAAACAAAGCCGCTTTTTCTAGCTCCTCTTCGTTACACTAGAATGGTAAATACACAGCTTGGTTTGTTGTGCTCTCGTCCAAAGAAAACCTTATTCGGGAAATTGTTGCTTTTGGTCATTGTGTCCACCTTTGGCTCCTTGTAGTACGTACTAACCTTTTTGCCTCATCGCTGATAATTTCCTCGAAATTTCCTTCTGATGTCTGTTCATCTTTTTTTAGAACTGAGGTGATTTGGAAACCAGACGAACACTCCGTTGAAGATCTGGTGGTTCAGCTTAGTGGAAAAGTATGCAATATTGCAAGCATTTCCTACTCTTTTCCTGCAACTTAATTTTCAGTTTCTTGAGTATGGTGTGGGCCGAATTTGGAGTAATTTTCAGTATACTTGCTTGCAAGTCAACCTAGAAAAGACCTTTGCTATTTTCATGTCAACACAAATGCATATACGTAAGTGGTGAGGGCATCTACGGTCCACGATACTAGGCTAGCAACCGTAAATAACTACAGTAAAATTTATGGTTTATTAACACTTAATAAGATAAAAATATCCATGTGAATAGTTATTCGTTTGCCATCAAATTTTTTTACACTATATAGTATCACGAATGTTGTTTAATTGAAATCATTCCCTACTTCATTGTTTGGGTGATGTTTGGTTAGATTGTATTTTTAGAAGAAAAATATAACAACCAAAATTAGAACTTAAAGTAGGTACAAAGATTTGTAAGTTATAGATTAAGCAACAAACATTAAAGTTAAGTAGCATTGTTCGTCCATGCTATGTCATTAATTAGTGATGGCATTAATTAATAAATCTTCACAGGATTTGACATCAGTGGCACTTTTGTGTGAAAAGACCAAGGAGATGAATGATGTGGTTTACAAAAGTGCGGTTGGAGGGCATGTAGTTGATTTAGCCGTCTTGCTAGCGGTTGCTCCCGAGAGGGTTAACGAATTGATTTTTATCGATTCAGTGACAAAAGAAAAGGCGACGATATACGAGTGTGTGATTAAGGAAGTTGTGACAGCACTTGGACAACTAGCAGGAACAACAACGTCTTCGATAGCTTCTGAACCTAGTTGTGCTATGACCAACGGGAACGAGTTGGGAGAGAAGAGGAAACTCCTCCTTTGCATAATCAAGTTGCTACAATTGTTTGGCGTGGCTGGTGAGAATGAAAAGAACTCTAATGACAAGAAGCGGATTTCACCGCTGATAAGAGCGGCAAATGTAACATTGGATTTTGTTACACATACATGAAGTAGAAATTTTATTTGATTATAAAAATTTGCATGTGATCACCATAAAACTTTTTTATCATAACAATATTTCATAAAAAGAATGGGTCAAACACTGCATATGTCCCTCAATTTAAGTTTCAGTATTAAAAAGTGAGCTTATTCATGTAGAATGGGTACGTTGAAGGCTAAAAGTGTCATCCTTTTGTGTAGTATCTATCTACTTTGCTAATTCTTTGATCCTAGCTTTAGAGTTTTTCCGTAAACATAATCAGTGTTTAATTCCACGGTTGAAACTATAAAGTATTTATTAACGAATTGAGCTCAAATTATATCAAACTCGGCTTTAATTTGGATCATTTGCGAGCCTGACTTAAAAGTGACCCTCAGGCCTCAACAACCCTCAAATCGTTGCTGTACATTACTGATCAAAGTGAAGAAACAAAGAAAATAAGTAGCAGGCAGGCGGCGGAGGGCGGACCCATGGATGACGATACGAGTAAGACTTAGTGCACATAAATGGAATCGGGAGACATGGAAATCATCTGAAGCAAGCTGGAATTGGAGAATGTCTCCTCCAGCGCCGGCCCTCTCCTGCTTCCGCCGTCGCCGCTCTCCTTGGCGATGTGAACCAGCTCTTTCGCAACTTCCGCCATCCCGATCTTCCCTTCCCGGCCGAACAGCCAGCACCTCGTCGCCAGATCCGCCACCGCCTCGATCTGCTCCCGCCGGAACGCCGTTTGCTCGTGGTAGTACAGATTCGGATCCACAATCTCCTCCACCTTCCCGCTCCTCTGCAACGCCGCCGCCGGCAGCTCCCTGCTCTTCGTCCCGGCCACCATCTCCAGCAGCAACAAACCGAACTCGTAGACGTCGCTCCGGTGGACAATCCCCCCGCCGCCGATCTCGGATCCGATGTGGAGCCTGAAGCCGGCGACCCGGACCGAGTGGCAATCGTCGAGGAACAGGCACGCGGATCTGAGATTATGGTGGAAAATCGGGGGAGAAACTTCCTGCTGCAGGAAGGCGAGCACGCTCGCCGTCTCCGCGGCGATGCTCAGCCTCTGGTACCAGTCGAGGCCGCCGGCTTCGCGGCGGCGCAAGTGTTCCTCCACGGTGCCGTTCCCTGGGAACTCGTAGACGACCAGCGGGGTGTAGCCGCAGTCGATGCAGCAGCCGATGATTCGAGCCATGTTTCGGTGGAAGACGGCGGAGATCACTTCGATTCGCGAGAGGACCTGGCTCAGATCTCGCTGGTCCCGGCATTCCACCTTGTGAACCGCCACCGGCGAGCCGTCGGCGAGCAGCCCGGCGTAGATTTCACCGCTCGAAGTTGCGTCGGTCAGCTTCTGGCCGTCGTCGAAGCATTTGGTAGCTTCCTCCAGCTCCCTGTAGGTGAAGGAACGGGTCGTCCAGGGCTTTCTGAAGGACAAGGTGTTCTGCAATTTGTCCTTGTTTGGCTCGTACGTCCCGCCGTTTGTAGGACGCTTTAGCAGGCAGAGCAACGCAGTTAACGTCGCAACGACGAATATTGGTCCCAGAACTCCTGAACACAAAAGAAAAATCCGATCGGAAAGTTGCAGGATTATCAGATCGGAGAGTTTTCCAATCTAATTGAGCAATTCGTACCGGCTAAAATGGAGACCATCTTCCCGCTCCGCCGTCTGGTCAAGCAGTCGCCGCCACGAGCTTCTCGGCCATCCTTAACGCAAGCTGTAGATATGACCGAGTGAAGAAGACAAGATTAAAACTTGCAACAGTGGAAAGGTGAAGAGACTGTTGACTGTTCGAACAGACTCACTTTTCAAGCAACCTGAGCCGCCGGCGTATCCATCGCCGACGAACCCGTCTCGGCACTCGCACCTTAGCCCGCTTTGGACAGTGGTGGCATTGACCGTATCCGCATCGGACGCACACAACCTGCTCGACGAATTGCCAGGGAGAGCCCATTCCAATTTGACCCCGCGCTTCCCAACGCCAGCCCCTCTAGGGACGACCCAGCAGGTGAATCCCCTGCATCCAAACTTGGAGAAGACACTGAACCCATCTCCCAAATCCCAGGAACTGCGATCGGAGAGAGGGTAGCAGCAAGCAGGGGAGCCGTTGCTGTCCCCGTCGCAGCCGGGGTAATCTGTAGTCTCGCAACCAGGCTTGCACAGCGAGGAATCGTCGCAATCGTATAGCCCGACGACGTTCTCTTCCGATATGCCGAAGTAGCGGTTCCCGGCGAAGGGGAAGGCGTTGAGGTTGTAGTACTGGCGGCAAGTGGATGCAGGGAAATCTACAAGGACACCGTCCGGGAAAAACTGGAGGACTCTGTATCTGTCGGAGTTGATGGTGAGGAAAAGCGTGGTGGAGTTGGAGCAGGTGAGAGGGAATGCTGCTGTTGTTGAAGGAGAAGCAGCGCAGGAGGAGTTCGAGAGGAAGAAGGGGAAAGGAATCGAGAGTTCCCCGCATGTCTCGTTGCAGTGTGAAGGTGGAGGAGGAGACTGAGAATGGCAAGTTGAGAGGTGAAGAGTGTTACAGAGGATGAACAAGATCAGCAATGGTGGGAACATGTTTCCAGAAACCGGTAGCAAGCAATCAAATCAAACAGGGATTCATCGGAAGTTGATTAGCACCCAGTGAAATATATGAACTAGCTGCTGAGCAACAGCGAGGAAGAAACTGAGAAAGAGAAAGAGAGAGAGATCGAGGCATGGGAGTTGGAGAAAGAAGAGAAGATTGGTCCCAGGAATGGGTTACAGTTTGGTACCAAAGGGCATGGAATGGCGAGCTGATGAGCTGCTTACTCTATTAATTAAAAGGCAACACAACTTTTGAAGTTCTTCTCAAACTTCGATACCAGGAAGGAGCTTCCCTTTTATTCGTTTTTATTAGTATCTAGTATGGATTAATTATCACTAGATAATTGATATGCGCTATGTACGACGATTCGATTTAAAATACTTCCTAATCTTTTCTATTATGAATCTCTAGAACTATTGGTCCTTCAGAGGTCTCTCCTCTAAATGACAATCCTTGATTGAGATAACACACTAAACTCCCAAATCTCAGATTCTAAGTTCCAATCTTTCAAGTAGAGTCACAAATCTCGTAATTAATACATCAAAATCCATTATATTCCTACGCTGCGGAGCCAACCATTCCCCCATCTGAAAATATAATGAGCAAGTCAGTAAGTGTTACGTGTCAAAGCTTATAGTAGTGGCGACCAGTAACTATAATAAACTGTTGATTGCTAGTTGCCTATAACAAGTGGTCCGTAAACCAGAAAAATAACACAACTTACATTCAAGCCTTCCTTGTGCTTGGCCAAGAAAACAACCATTTAACAAGAGAACCAGAACCCATTGTGGCAAAAAGCAAAGTGTCTGTTGATCCATGGGGTATATCTGTAAAGGACAGAATTTAATATACATCAAACCAACTTACAGGTCTCCTCACAAGTCATATTAAAGAGAGCCATGCACATTCTGCCAAAAAGAAGAAGACTCACCATATGAAGATGAGGTCCAATGCAATCAACACCGCCAAGCACCAAAGCAGCCGAGATGTGGCCTTGGTAACTGAAGAACAAAGCCCAGGCAGAATAAAGAACTCACTCACTATTAAAAAAAAAAGAAGGTCATTGCAGAAAGCATAAAGAGTTCAATGTAGCAGTCGGATTACTTGAAAAGATGCTTCTTCAGGAGAGTGACTGTTGTAATAACCCTCGACTCTAAACCAGTGTGATATGTGAACTGCCCATGTATGCACACAAAAAATTTCAATCCATAGCCACACAGTAAACTGGGGAGTTCAAAGGCTAAATGAGAAGAAAACTTAAAGCGCAATAATGTGAAGTGAAGTTATACATGGATGTAACATTAACAACTTCGACAACTTAGACATACATGTGACTGACTCGGAATCGGCAGCAGTTTCTGCTCCTCAGCAGTAAATGTTGGGCGCCATAAAATGGATCTTCTCACAATTCTTATCACAGACGATAGGGTCCAGAAGTGGCTCTAGTATCTGCTCCAAGAATGACAGCCCTCCTATACAGCAAGTGAAGGTGCCGGACCGGCTTAAATTAGAGAAACCAAACACAAGAGACCATCTTTCTTGAGCATGTTAACCACTCAACCCTTGAATACCCCTGATTTTTTCTATCAGTTATAATTAACATGAAAAATTCACCCCACGTTCCTAGAGCAAATACTAGGAGCTCAAAGGTTTCATAAACCACAAAGTAGATAGAGTAACTTAATGGGCAAGTCATTAAAACCAGCTCAAAATCAAACTAAAGCTGACAAAAAATCTCATCTTTTCTACTGGGTCCAGCTTAAAGTTCAATAGAAGAGTAGAAACCAAATACAATGAGATGAGCAGATTAAGAACTACAAACCTGGAAAGTCGAGCCGACAATGGCGGTTCTGTCTTCTTATAATTTGGATGCTTGACGCCCTTCCCCGAAAGCATTTTGTTCCTCTTACAGAGTCGAAACTCAACCCACACTTTGGCGGCGTCTCCACAATTGACAAGCTCGACATTCTGGCAGAGACTAATCTCCCAACTAACGAACTGAAACAAAACGGGAGAAGAAAATAAATACAATGCAAATGGAAGCGGAGGGAGTAGCCACACAAGAAGAAAAAGCAAAAAAGAAAACGACCAGATGGAAGAAAAAAGAGGCATCAGAAAAAACAACAGCTTGAAACTAGAAAAACGTGACCAAATTGATGATGATAAATTCCAGAAGAATAGTAACGCCTCTTCACACCTTGGCTCCAGTTGCGGACTACTAGTTGTTGATATGTAGAGATGAAAGAGATGAGGAGAGCCCATCGACAGGAGGAACATACTCGAGCTTGGGGCAGTTCCAGCTCTTCAGTTCTCTAAGAGAAGTGAGGTGTTCGAGTTTGAGGTAGTTGAGACGAGACAAATTTGGAAGGTTCCATAAGAAGATTGATGTAAGAGTGGTTGGCAGAAGCATCTCCTCAGGAAAAGACTCCATATTATCATTGGCACTCAAATGTAACTCCTCAAGATAGCAAATTGATTGCAGATGCCACCCAGTTCGTCCAGCTATGAGCTTGTCACAGCCTTTGATTTCAAGCGACACCAGTGACGGGAAGAGACCGCCTATGCAAAAAGATTCCAACAGAGGACAGTCCTTGATTTCGAGCTTCTTGATAGAGATGTGATGTTGGCCTTCTCCCAGAGATCGCAGATTCTGTAGATTCCTGATTTTCAGAGAATTCAGAGAGCATGGCAGAATTCTCTCCAGGGGCAAAGATTCCAATTCTTCATTCTGACCAATGACGAGGTTCAAAAGAGATGACAACAATTGCAAGTTCCACTTCCTCCAACCTGCTATGAGTTTGTCACAGCCATTAATGTTCAGAGTCTCTAAATTCCGGGGTAAACCACCTTCAGGGAAAGACTCCAGCTTTGGGCAGTTATCCAAGAAGAGCTCCACTAGTGATGGGAGAAGAGAGTGCATAGGTTCGGCTAGAGACTTTAAGCTTGTGCAATCACACAATATGAGCTGGGTCATATTAGGGGCATTTAACCTTCCCACAGGAAATGAGATGAAACTAGGGCACTTTGAAATCTCTAGGAACTTCAGATGTTCTAAACTGTCCGATGTTTTTGCAGTATCAGGTCTCCAAAGGGATACTAAGCTTTGGCATCCATTGACTGAAACAACTTTCAATTTGGGGAAAAACTCCAGCGGCATGTATCGAATTGAGTCGCAGTCTCTAACCATAATTTCTCGCAGAGTATTAGAGAGATCGAGAACCAACTCCATGTCGTCTAGCAAATCCTGGGCAACTTGAACTCTGAGACGGTGAACTCCGGGTGTCAGCATCTCGAGCCATACATCACGATAATCGTCTTTCAATCTCATTGAGATTATGTTTGAAGCCCATGGAACTGAAGCTAATCTGAGCTCCTGGCATCCTCTTATCTCAAGTCTTTCTAGAGAGGAAAAGTGGGAAGGGAGGCTTTTCCCGAGGCTGGGACAGTGTCTGATGAAGAGTTCCTCAAGGACTGGGAATGCCTGACCTCCATCATAAGGAATCCACTCGGTCCATTCAGTTAACTGGTCAAATATCAAAGTTTTGAGGGAGCCAAATGGGATTTTGGTGGTGCCATAGAACTCGGGACCCACCGTGACAACCTCCATAAATGCTTTGATGGATAGCTTCCGGAGAGATGTTAACTGCCCGAGTGGTGGCAAGAAGGAGCAGTATTTACACCCATTAAGTTCCAGAGATAGTAAATGTGTGAAGGAAGAACGTCCAACCCAGCCCGGAAAACTTGTTCCTCCATAACCTTCAATCAATAGATTCTCTAAGTTCATATGTGGCTGCAAGTTCTTCAACACGGCCCTTTCATGTAATGAATCATCGGTATCTCCATTCCATCTCAACTCCAATCTGCTGATGTGCATCTTCGTCTTCAAACTAGCTTCAAAAGCAGATCGATAATCTGTGACATTTTGGAGATTCCATATTCGAAGTGTTCCCGAGAGATGTTGAAGGCCCCCCATCTCCTTAATACCAGAACCAGAACCTCTATGAGCTCCACAAACAAAGTCAGTTAAACTCCGGAGGTTTGCCAAGTTACTCATTTCTAGTGGCATCTCCTGCAGCATAGTTTCTGTAACATCTAGGCTACATAAGTTAACTAAACCGATAAAAGAATCTGGAAGTCTCCTAATTTGAGTTCCACTGATATCCATAATCTGCAGTTGCTTCAGTTTTCCAATCATATCAGGCAAAGCCTGAATGTTTTTGCACTTGTGCAAAATTAGAATTTCCAAATTATACAAGCTACAGAGTGAATCAGGCAACTTGTGGAACACTGCTAGGGAGAAATTCAAATATCTCAAGTGTTTCAAGTCACCAATTGCATCAGGCAACCTGGTGACTCTATAACCTGATAAAGATAGCACCCGCAGTCGTGTAAGTTTCAAGAATATGTTTTGGAGTACCTTCTCATCCATGGATTCGGTTTCATAACTGCACCATTTCGACCAATCTATTGGCAACAAGGTCCTCAAATGTTTAGCTTTATGTATGCCCTCCCATATGATACTGGTGCCAAGTTCTGCCCTTGCATATGATAGATGCCGAGTTCTTCCGGCAACCTTGAATGATTTGGCATCCTCCATTCTATAGCAAAATTCTCCAGCAATATATTTGGCCAGGTCATGTATAAGATCGTGCATTTTGAAGCACAACTGATGTTCACTTGATTGTTGGAAAAATGATCTTGATACAAGATCGTTGAAGTACTCAGAACAAGTGTCTTCCATTTCCCTGCTTCCTTTTGATTGGATCACGAAACCCTCAGCCATCCATAAACGAACTAATTCTTCCTTCTCAAATTCATAGTCATTGGGGAATATTGCACAGTACACGAAGCAAGGTTTTAGATGAAATGGAAGATAGCGATAGCTCAAGATTAGTGCTGGAAGAATGCTGTCATCACTTGTTGAATCCCATATGTTGCTCTTCAAAATATTCTGCCATTTGTCTACATCTGCATCAGCACGAAGAAGACAACCAAGTGTTTTTGCAGCTAAAGGCAAGCCATTACATTTCTTCATTATTTCCCTGCCAATCCCTTCCAAGTCTTCCCTCCTCACACTTGAATACCCACCATCAAAAGCAGTCTTAGCAAACAGAGACCAACAATCCTCATCATCTAAGTTCTGTAGATTGTGAGGTGGAAGCATTTTAATAGTTGGCACAGTGCGAAGAACTGAAACTACACTATGACTTCGGGTTGTTACAATTATCGTACTTCCAGGTGCCATGGACTGCAAGGGTTTAAGCAAGTTCACCCAGTCAGCGGCACACTTATCATGCCAAACATCATCCAAAACAAGCAAACACCTCTGGCCTTCAAATGCCTTCCCCAACCCGAGTTGAAGTTGATTGAGAGTTGTGCTACCGGAACTCCTCCCACATACTTCTTCAAGAATGTCCTTTGACACCTTATAGACATCGAACTCCGCCGAAACACATACCCACGCCCTGAGTTCAAACCACCTTTTGACTCTGTTGTCTTTGTAGAGAAGCTGGGCGATGGTGGTTTTACCAATTCCACCCATACCCACAATTGGAATCAGACCAACATCACCATTAGTACCACCTGTTGTTACATTTGATAGGAGAGACTGAATTATGGCCTCCACGTCATTCTCCCTACCATAAACAGTTGATCCGTCAGTCAGAGAAGTGGTCGCTCTATTTGGAGACGATGGTTTTCTTTCAATTCCTTCTATCAGACCAAGGACATCCTTCTGCATCACCAAATCTTCCAGCGTTGCAAGAATACCTCTCAGCTTCGTGTTAGTGCTATCTCTGAAAGAACGCTGAGTGATGAAGTTTCGCACCTTCTCTGCAGTGGTGGTGGACTGAGTTCCCAAATAAGGCTCCAACTCCAACCGCTTGAATTCATAAGAGATTTCATCCAACAAGTCATCTGCTTCAAGTGTTGCGTCTTTGAGATCGTCGAGCCACCTCTTCACGGATGGCTTGCTAATCTGCTTCTCTTCTGCATCATCAAGCACTCCACACACAGAGTTTAATATCATTTCCAACTTTTTCAGCATGACATGATTGAGTTTATGGCCCCTGATGAAATGGAGTAGCTCTGGAGAAGCCATCCTGTCGAACAAGACATCGAAAAGGGCAGAAAGGAATGATCCTCCAATTAAAGCAGCAGCATCCATGGCTATTTTTATGAGATACTAGAATGAGAGTGTGCCAGGCTTTCAGAATGCAGAGCAAATGAAAACCAATGGGAAGATTGTTCCTTTTTTAAGAGACCAATGAGAAAGACTTTGTGGAGAAGAGTACGATATAAGAAATTGTCAAAGGAGCCATATAGTTTTCAAACCATAAAGATATCTCATGACACAATGTACAATCATTAGATTAGTTATTAAATTCGATCATGGTTGTTCCAGGAAACTTACTTCAATAAAAAATTGTTTGAAGGTAACCCAACTCAATTCCACGTCTGCTGAAGAAACCTTCAACCACAAGAAAACAAAATTACAGAAGATAAGGGGATCGTGATGTGGTATTTGTTTGATGCATACAAGGTCGACGTTTCAAAGCAGCAACTCGGACGGAAATTTCCAAGATAATGAAGTGATTAAATAATAATTAAATGATGACAACAGAGAAGTCAAAACTAATTAGAGAATCATTAGCGAAAGCAGCTTAGCTTTGTAACGGGATCAGATAAGCAGTCGGGAAATACTTGCCGTTGATTTTGAGCTCAGGCAACTCCGGCGAGCTGAACGCTTCTCCTTCCGCTTACCATCGGAGACCTCTCTTGCTCTCAACCTCCCGGGCTTTCGGCGCTTTCTCATTTCAATGGCGCCTGCCTGCGCTTCTCCGATTCGAGTCAATCTCGCCTGCAGTCTCTACAATTCCTTGACCTGCGTTTTCTGGGTTTGTACTCTGTACGACGGAACAATTTGGGAAGTTGATCCGAAAACGGGCCGTAATAAGAAACCAATGGGCCAAGAATTTTAAGCCCACAACTTTGTAAAACTCGTTTTTCTGTTGAGCTCACACTAAGACAAATTTCAACCCAGCGAGTGGGCAACTTGATTCCCCGTTCGGCAGACTTTCCATTCCCTTTTCAATCTCCTCGAATCTCATTCCCCAACCACTCCAATTCTGTTCCGTCTTCCATGTTTTCCGATAGTTTGTCTATAAGCGTCAAACTTGTCAGAAATCGGTCCGACTGGAATTAGCTGAAAGTGAGACTGAAATCTACGCCGCCGCCGCCGCATCCCGGCCGCCACTATTACTCACCACTGCCTCTGCTCATCAGTCGTCAGTCACCTCTCCGCCTCATGCCCTTAACCCCGCTATGGCCGTCTGATCCTTCTCTCTTAGCCAGCCAGTGTCGCCAGTCAAGTAAGTGTGGTCACTTCTGGCTGTAGCTCGGTCGCGGCGGAAGCGATCTTCGTCTGGTTTGGTTATAGTCTCCGACTCTCCGTAATTCAGTAGAGGCTGAAGTTGCCAAAGAGACAGCGTCAGCATTGAAGTTGAGAGCGGAGCCACAGATTTTTCGCGATTGTCGACGTCTTCCCTCTGGGACGTAATCTCCGTTTCTCGCTGCTGTGTAAAACTTGATAAGGAACGCAGCTTCCAGCTTTGCTCTGGCCACATCTGTTCCAATTTCCAAGCACTGCCGATCACTTCAGTAGTTCCCGCTTGCAGCTTCGGCCTTTAGGTACGATTTTTTTGTCCAATTTTCCGCATGAACAGTTTGCTGGGGATGTTTTGGGGCGTGTATACTTTTTCTAATAGCGGACAGGTACTCAAGTCGATGAAATTGGGGAAAGATACAAGAGCTAGACTAAGGTTTTGTGTGAAGTCCAGGATTTTTGTTGATTAGCTGGTTATAACTTGGAAATGATTGCATGTTGAACAACAGGGATGTGGCGGAATTCTACTGGATCTGAATTTTAGAATGATGATGCTGGGTGAATTGTACTTCTGACTGGAATGCAAATGCAATGGGGATGTACCCTTTATCAGTGCTTGTGTACCTCTTATGGTGCATGTTTCTATGTCTATTCCAGACACGACTTTGCGTTCTCAGTTCAATGGAGTGTGGCGGTGGAGGGTATTGGTTAGGAAACTGTCTGCAAGACTCGGAATCAAGTTTGAGCAACAGCTCCTCCACGAGTGTTACTTCCAGCAAGGCTGAAATAGCTGAATTTTCTTCCTCAATGAAGGGTTCTGTATCCTGTGAAGATCTGGGAGGAGTTGGATATTTTAATACCACCTGCTTGCTGCACTCAAATGTGACTTTAGAATCTGACCTCCATGTTTATGGCACAGGCAACCTTGGGGTACTTGCTCATGTTTCGGTTCTGTGCCCTAGTGAAGGTTGTGTGATTGCTTTCAATATGACTGGCACAGTTAACATTGGGCAATATGCAGTTATTAGTGCTGGCTCAGTTTTCCTCTCTGCTGCTAACTTGACCATGGAAGATAATTCTTTCATAAACACAACAGCATTAGGGGGTTTGCCACCTTCTCAAACTAGTGGTACGCCAGTAGGGTTTGATGGAGCTGGTGGAGGACATGGTGGTAGAGGTGCTTCCTGTTTGAAAAAGAATGACACAAGTAATTGGGGTGGTGATGTTTATGGATGGTCATCATTGCATAGACCGTCGAGCTATGGAAGTAAGGGTGGGGGTACCTCCTCCGAGAAAAAGTTTGGTGGGAATGGCGGAGGACGTGTCATGCTACAAGTGGAAGAGATATTTTACTTGAACGGATCCGTTGTTGCAGAGGGTGGGGATGGAGGAGTGGATGGCGGAGGTGGATCTGGTGGGAGTATCTTTGTGCTTGCTGTAAAGCTGTGAGTAAACAATACTATGCTTTTGTAATGTGTACAAGGTTTGCAGTGGGGTATATTGATTCTTGCATAATTCGGCACAAACTTTAGCATGACCTTAATACTGTTTTCATCATGATAGAGATAGGTTGAGGCCTAGCATTTGATCAACACCAAAAATGAAACACCAAATTCTGTTTAACCTCGGTTTTAATGGGCTGCACTCATTTCGACCTTCCTAAAACATATAGAACCAGTTCTCACTGCTTGTTTTTGTGGTACAGTGAGACTTCTTCTTTTCTCCTCCACTGCACTTCAACTTTTGCGGTCTTCAAGGCCCCACAATTTTTCAATCAGCTAGGAAGTACTTCCAAGCACAAAACACTTTTAAGCATTATCACAAAGTGCACTTCACACTAGATCTTGCACTCCTATTCTAGATACAAGGGTTTGGGACTACTAGGCTATTACTTTCTTCATTCATCTTCTGCCCTTCTGCGCTTCCTTTTGGTCTGAGTTAGCTAAGTAGGTAGTCGCCATTGTTGAATAGGTTGTTGCTGTACTGATATCTTTTAGAAGACTCAGAATGCACCGTGGACCATTCTCTTAAGACCTATGATATTCTTTTTATGCACTCTAACCTGTAAGCTTTTATGAATATTATTAAATTTGGATTATCAAAGTTGCCACTGAAGGTGGCAGATCATTTGGGAATGAGGTAAAAAGAATGATAGATAGAAAACCAGAAGAATAGTAAAAGTCTGTACTCTCCAGCTTGGTATGTGCTCAAGAATCCATTCTTGTTTTTTAGTATATGTATCTATTTATTTGAACTTGGAAGATCTTTTTCTGCACAAGTTCTCTCTCTTGTTAAACTCACTCTTTCGTTGTCTTAGCCTCTGAACTCGCTGGTTAAGTATTTGCTTTGGTGCTAATTTGGTATGATATGTCTACTGGAAACTTTGGAGTTGCTCGGACAAGTGAGCCCATAAAACCATCATATGTATCTTAGTGTGTTCTCTAATATAACTATGTTTCAGGTATTCTTGTTGCATTCTGATCCTGACACAAAATGAAGTACTATTTGTCTCTTGTTTGATGCCTTGAAAAATATTAAATGTCAGTTGCATTGAAAAGAATCCTAAAGTCTAAATGACTGAAGTTGTTCCCTCTCCCTCCTAGAAAACATTGTGTTGATTGCTGTTTTTTATTAGTCATCGTATCTTGCTCAGATTACGACCTTATTCAGATAGCTTTTCATGATTGAGTTGTGTAGGAAGGGATATGGATTTATAAGTGCAGCAGGTGGGATGGGGCTGGGTGGAGGTGGTGGTGGAAGAGTTTCTTTGGATTGTTACAGCATACAAGAAAACGTGAAGGTTACTGTACATGGTATCTTTCAAGAACATTTGTATCTTCTTATCTGGGACTAGTGTTTAGCCAATCGTTATATTGCGTCCTTGTGGATACTTCTTTCAGTTATGTAAATATGAACTGCGTTGAGGCAAACTCATATGGACAGTCCATTTATAGCAGTTGAACAATTTTGCATCAGGGTACCATATAAATTATATTGGTTTGGTACATCTCAGTTTTCTTCATGAAAGAACATGTCAGTGGACCTCTTCACAAATAATCATATTTGGTGTGAAATGTGCTGTCTTTTCTAATTTGGTGGGGTAGCAGTGTCCTCTTATCTTTAGGTTAAAACTCTCCCCCAGTTATACAGAGCTTAAGAAGCTATGAAATGCGGAGAGTATGGTACACTGTGTCTTCAGCATTGCTGATTTAGGGTTCTTTTTTCAACCATGATTGGTCTGCTGTCCTTTTTATCTTCTCGGTGCTGTTACATTTCTGGAGTTCCCAATAACGATGTGTTAACTTAGTTGAGGTTTTATTTGAAGCTAACTTGCATGCTGTTCTATTCGCAGGTGGTTACAGTATAGGATGTCCTGAGAATGCTGGAGCAGCTGGTACATATTTTAATGCTGATTTGCTGAGTTTGAGGGTTGGAAATGACAATATGACTACAGAAACGGAGACCCCTTTGCTAGTTTTTCCTGTCGCTCCTCTATGGTCAAATGTTGTCGTGGAGAACAATGCAAAAGTTTTAGTGCCCCTGCTATGGAGTAGAGTTCAGGTTGCCAATTTCTTTGCATTAGAGATGGGATTCACTGAATCATAAGCATTTTCATTTCTCTATCTACGAAATGCTCTTTGCTTATTTGTATTTTGTTACAGCATCTGAACATGTTACTTTGAAGCATTTGTTTGTCGGTTAAGCCTGGAACAACTTAGTTGCATTTCCAGGAAAAATCAATACCTTTTATCAAGGGTTCTCGAGTAGGAGTTGAACTTGTTGGTACACAACTGTGTAGGTGCATGCATCCCCTAACAAGATAGTTTATCATTATCAGAACGTTCTTCTTGATACTCTTGCTTCAAGAGCAGATAATCGGTATTCTTTATATGCAAACATGTCTGTTTCTTTTCTCCAAGTCAATGCTAGGAAACAGTACATTGTGTGACTTATTAGTATGATGACATTCTGATTGATATTTCTTTCTACAAATATATGTTCTTTTCTGCGGTTCAAGTCATTGCCAGCAACCTATATTTGGTGTTGTTTCTGACTATATGTGATTTCAAGGTTAGAGGCCAAATAAGTTCGTACTGTGGAGGGAGCATTGTGTTTGGATTGGCTAAATATCCCGTGTCTGAATTCGAGCTCGTGGCCGAAGAGCTTTTAATGAGTAATTCTGTTATAAAGGTACGTCTTCAAGAATTTTGAAAACAATTTCCTTTATATATGAGGAATTTCTCTTAAATTTTATAAACTATATATGGATTGAGTTGGGATTTGTTGAATCACACTTGTTATAAGGTGATTCATATAGTAAAGTTGCACATAATTAATTTTGAGATCCTCTTGTATGAAAGATGCTCAACTCCTTTAATATTTGTTAAGACTTATATGCTCAAATTATTTTTCTTATTTGTGCATATGTTAAGATACTTTTGTCTCGCTTCTTTTCCCCTCCGGTTTTGAACATTTCCTATTGGCATCTTGTTTTATGCTACTGTAAACTTTAGATTTTTCCTCAACGCTAAGTAGTTTTATGCTTTGACTTGTGTTGAATTTTCCCAAATCAAGGTTTTTGGTGCATTTAGAGTTGCTGTGAAAGTGTTGCTTATGTGGAACTCCTCCATTGAAATTGACGGGCGTGGAAACACTGTTGTTACTGCTTCCATCCTCGAAGTCAGAAATCTGATTGATCTCAGGGTATGATGAACTGCATTGCCTGCGCTAATTGATGTTACTTCTCCCATAATATACACAATATTACATTTTCTTCTTTTTTTCTTGATATATCTAGGCCAGAGGATCTTCAATTGTCATTTTTTTCTCCTCTGTGTTTTTACTTTGCAGGCAAGTTCCGTCATTAGTTCCAATGCAAACTTGGGGGTCTATGGTCAAGGACTATTGAGGCTGACAGGCCAGGGTGATGCAATCAAAGGCCAACGACTTTCATTGTCTCTATTCTACAACATAACTGTAAGCTCTTCATGTGGCAGAACTGAGTTCTGTTCTGGACTTTCTGGTGCAATTTTTTAGGCAATGACACTATAGGATCTTTATATATATGCAAACAAAAGATTGCACCTAGGGATGGTGTATTCATTGGCTAGAAGATGGAAGAGAGTGTATGGTGTCCCTGACAGGTTGATCTATGTGCGAGATGAAGAACGTAAATTCTTCGAATGTGGCATTGGATGACCCTGGGTGCTGAAACCGTAGAACTGCACCTGAAAGTATGCGGCATATGAGCCATGAGGCATGATTAGGATAACGTGACAAGTCTTCTGGTTATTTTGATAAGTTGTGCTTGGGTTTCGTAGCAACTTTGTCTAATCTAGAGTATGCTCTCTCTGTATTTCCTTCACATCTCAGTCGAAAAGAAGGAGTTCATATTCTCCTTCAGTATTTGCAATACCACATACAAATTTACAGTGCTTTAGGCAACAAGAACATAAAACCCTTTCTCTGTGCACAGGTTGGTCCAGGTTCCCTACTTCAAGCTCCATGGGGTGATGATGCCAGCAGAAGTTTGTGAGTATGAACTTGTTCATTTTAGTCTGTCTTGAATTCAGTATTAAGTGCATAAATTCTTTCTTTCTCTATTGACACTTTCTGGCTGTTCTAGGGTTACCAAGTCAATGTGTGAGACAGAGATATGCCCTGCAGATATCATTGTTCCTCCAGATGACTGCCATGTCAATTATACATTGTCCTTTTCACTTCAAGTAAGCATGAGATTTTAGATGAATGAATATGCTGATTGTTTTCTATAAGTTGATCAAATGTTCAATCCTGTTCATACTGGTAGCCGTGCACATGGTTTGAAACTTAAACAATCTGTTCTCAGGCTAATATCAAAAGTCTAAATGATATGGAGGTATCTTATGGATAATTTCTCAATATTTGGTACCTCTTAGCATTGAGGCCTGGACACAGTTTGGTGTACCCTTGGTTTTCTCTCGAGTTGTGGCCTAGTTATTGTGGTATCAGTGACATTATGTCTTGTCTAGGACCACTGGCCCATAGAAATTTGTAATGAGTGGCAACATAGTGAAGTGTTAATATAAGAGAGTAATAGTAGGGGAAAAAAGAGAGAATATGATCCAACTTTTGAAACTGCAGAAGTTGTGAGGACTCATGAAGTTTGTTCTGTCATGGTGCAACACCAATACAAAGACCTGTTAACCTTTGATCAATTTAAGAAATACGTTGTTTGTTTCTACTGCTGCTATTTTCCTTATACATTGCATATCATTTCCTAATGAACATCTTTGGCAATCATTGTTGAAAGATCTGTCGTGTTGAAGACCTCCTTGTGAATGGTATTGTAAAAGGCAGTATTATCCACATCCATCGGGCAAGAACTATCATTATTGATACTGAAGGCTCTATCACTGCATCTGAATTAGGTAGCGTCTTGCTCTATATATTTCCTGTGGTGCCCTCTTTTGTTTCTTTCTGTTGGTTTGAAGTTGTCACCTTCTAATTACATCTTTCAAGAGGATATCAATTGTGTCGCATCATGCTTTCCAGGGTGCAGTACGGGTATTGGAAAAGGGGAGTACATTAACAGAGCTGGCAGTGGTGCTGGGCATGGTGGGCAAGGAGGTTCTGGATATTACAATGGAATATTGATCGATGGTGGCAATGCATATGGTAATGCTGATCTTCCTTGTGAGCTAGGGAGTGGAACTGAAGGTCCTAACCAGTCTTATAGGAATATCATTGGAGGAGGAATGATTGGTAATATATCAATTTAGTTTCTTTATATTTCTAAGTGTAGTTCTATCATATCAAAGCAAACACTAATGCAGGACAATGATGATCGGCATTTTTGCAAATAAATGCTATTACGCTCCAGCTAGTTATAGTAATTTAGTGATTTTGATACTCTCATTGGTATGTTACATCGTCTTCATTTTTGTTTTTTTGTTTTTTTTTTTTTTGTAGTCATGGGCTCTACCCATTGGCCGTTGTTAAGGCTCGATCTGTATGGGTCTTTAAGTGCTGATGGCCAGAGTCCTCATGACGTGTTAATAGAGAAGAATGATTCTTTTATTGGTGGACTTGGCGGTGGCTCTGGCGGCACCATCCTTCTTTTCGTTCAGATGCTAATGCTTGCAGAGACTTCCAATTTGTCTGCTGTTGGTGGCAATGGTGGCTCTCTTGGTGGTGGAGGAGGTGGAGGCGGGAGAGTTCATTTTCATTGGGCTAACTTTGAATCTGGGGAAGAATATGTTCCAGTAGCAAGCATCAATGGTACCATTAATAGTAGGTATGTGTGCCAGCAGAAAAGGTTCATAAGGAGAACCTTAGTGTACCGCCCATTTTGCATTGGTGAAACTATCTTACAACTTCTCGACTCAAATCTGTGTCTTCATGCCCTAAGCCTTTTCTAGTATGGTTTATATATCCTCTGCACCTGATTTCCGCTATAATAATTTTTCTGGGGACTTGATCTTAAGTCATGATTATTTCCACAAAAGCATAAAAAAAATGGTTATGCTTGTTGACTTCCTCATTTTTGTTCCAATTTGCAGTGATAAAAGCTTATATGAAATTTTTTCTCAGTAGCTCAAATTATGATGCTGCAACTAATACGTCATACCCATAAAGATGCATATTTGGAATTCTTTGACCTTTTTCCTCTTTGGTCCACCCAAATTCTGTATGATGCGTGATATTAGGAATTGCCTTAAACTTGAATTATAGAACATTTGTTTGTACGTAGAAGGTTTGGCAGTTTGAGCATCCTTTCAACTGATTTGTTTGGCTGGATAATGTGTGGCAGTGGTGGTGCTGGGGATGATGGTGGCCTTTTTGGTGAAGGTGGCACAGTCACAGGCAGAAGTTGCCCAAAAGGTCTCTATGGTACATTTTGTGAGGTAATACTTAAGTATGTATTATGCAAGTGCAACTGTCCTAATCCCGTCCATGTCTGCCCACTTAATAATTTGTTTTAAAGGTTAAGCATTGCAGTGTCTTCACTTTACATTTTGCTTTATGTTTTTTGAATTGCTAGTTGAACTCTGAGTTCTCTTTGTGCTTTATCACTTATTGATTTCTTCACTCATCTTTTCCAAGCATTAAACCAGTTTTTGCTTCTACACTTAATCATGGAAGTTGTGTGTATAGGAATGTCCTGTTGGCACCTTCAAAGTTGAAGAGGGCTCAGAGGAAAGTCTTTGTATTCCTTGCTCTCTTAAGGTTCCTCCTGGACGTGCATATTTTGTATATGTGAGAGGTATTACTGAAACTAGATGTTCTTCTTCTTCTTCTTCTCTCTCTCTCTCTCTCTCTCTCTCTCTCTAGTCTCACCCTATCTGCATGAACTCATTGCAGGAGGAGTTACTAATACCTCATGCCCATACAGATGCATATCTGACAAATATAGGATGCCAAATTGTTATACCCCGCTTGAAGAGCTTATGTATGCATTTGGAGGCCCTTTGCTGTTTGTCTTCGTTCTGTCTTTCCTGGTGGTGCTTATAGCTCTATTTTTTAATACCTTAAGAATTAAATATGTTCGGTCAAGTTCGTATGGTCCAAAGTCAGTTGCCCATCAGAGTCATCATCATTTGCCGCATCTACTATCTCTCTCTGAGGTAAATTGTTGATAGAAAAAAATTATCTTGATTTACCTTTACCGTGGCTAGCACGCATCAACATTACATGCTAAAAAGCTATGATCTTGTATTCAATTAGGTGCGGGGAACTAGAGCTGAAGAAACTCAGAGTCACGTTTATAGAATGTACTTTATGGGTCCCAATACTTTCAGGGAACCTTGGCATCTTCCCTACTCTCCTCCCGATGCTATAATTAGTATAGTGTAAGTTGGGTTTAATTATAAAATGTATTTTGGTTCCTTAGTTCAATATCTTCATTGGCTGAAAATTCTGTTTGATGTTTGCGTTTAATTATTACAGTAGTAGTACAGACACAATCCTCATTTCCAACCTTTAGAATCAGAAGCTTATAGGTCTTGCTTGTTGTAAAATATCTTGGGTGTGTTTGTTTTAGATTTTTTTAAATGCTAATCTTTTCTAAATATATTGGGTCTTTCTACCAAAAAAATAAATATATTGGGTCTTCCCAAAATTTTGAGTTGATGGAATGTGATTTATTTTTATGATAATATTAAAGTAACCGATGAGATGGCAGTAGTTTGTTTATTAATGAAACAATTAGTAGATTTTGGGAAACTACTGTTATGAATATAACTCTAAGAATATATTCTTATTTCAAAGAGACAAAGTTGAACTTGAATTTTTTTCTGTGAGGTGGCTTTAAGATTTTATTAATTTGTGGGTTCACCATATGTAGTTATTTTAAGAAGTTAAATCATAGAAGTGTGTTTGCTTTAACTTTTAAGTTCAATTTTCTGAAGCCAAAACAAAAACCGCCCTTGTCTTTCTTCCATGTTCTATTTTTTATAGTATTTTCCTATCTGTTCAAGTATCATGAAGTAAATACTTTGAAGCATAGTCTCTGGTTGAATGTTTCTTTTATTGAAAGTTCATAACTAGCCCTTCTGATCTGCAGGTACGAGGATGCTTTCAATAGATTTATTGATGAGATAAACTCTGTTGCTGCATATGATTGGTGGGAAGGGTCGGTACACAGCATACTTTCTGTGCTTGCCTATCCTTGTGCCTGGTCATGGAAACAATGGCGGCGTAAAGTAAAAGTTCATCGGCTTCAGGAATATGTCAAGTCTGAATATGATCACTCATGTCTCCGTTCTTGCCGATCACGAGCCTTGTACAAAGGGATGAAGGTTTGAGCTCTGCTACTATTGTTGTTCTTACTGTTGCTAATAGAGGATTCCATTTAATTCAAGATCAAGCTTACTGAGATTACTAGTTCAACCCTGTAACCTAACCTAAATATAGAATGTATATTTGTTGCTGTACAAATGTTTAATCTAAATATAGCAACATGTTCATGCATAGGGTCTGCACACTTAGGGGAAGAAAAGTTTCATATCAATGGAATTCGGATTATATATTTTAATGCATCAGTTGCTTGCACTTCGTTTATATGTAATATCATTGTCTTACACAAACTTGTGTAGGTTGGAGCAACTCCAGACTTGATGGTTGCCTACATTGACTTTTTCCTTGGCGGGGACGAGAAACGTTTCGACATTGTATCTACTATTAAAAAGAGGTTCCCTATGTGTATATTGTTTGGTGGGCATGGAAGCTATATGTCACCCTATAATCTTTGCAGCGACACGTTGATAACCAATCTTCTTGGTCAGGTATGGTTGATCTATCACCTTACTATCATCCATGTTCTGCAGTCACACTTTAACATGATTAAACAATATATTCTCAGCACATCCCTGCAAGTGTCTGGCATCGTTTGGTGGCTGGCTTAAATGCTCAGTTGAGGACTGTGAGGAATGGATCTATCCGCACCACGCTAATTCCTGTTATTGATTGGATAAGGAGCCATGCAAATCCACAAATTGAATTCCACGGAGCCAAAGTAGAGCTTGGATGGTTTCAAGCTACAGCTTCTCATTACTATCAGCTGGGGATATTGGTAGTTACTGGTGAATATGCGTTCCAGAATACATGGGAGGCAGACAAGTCTGATAGAATGGACCTTAAAAAACCAAGGTAAAACCGTAACACTGATTAAATGATTAAGGAAAAGTTTAGTGTTCACTGGATTTTTTTATGGGATTTGTTATTCACTTGGTTGAGTCTGCTAATGCCATTTGGTGTTGGGGAGTTGGTTGTGAAAGTATATTCATCTTGCGTAGTCTTAAGAAGCCATTGGCTATTGCTTGGACCTATCAACCAATATGAGTCGTCAAACTCATATTTTCTCCAAGACTAAGAGTAGAGCTGGTCTTTTGTTTGACTCAAATCATGGATCTGTAGTGATAATGGAATACCTGTGGGTTTGATCTTGGATTGAACAATAATATCTTTGGGTATGGATCGACTACACCCCATCTAGAGTGGTATTATCAGAACCCTTCCATCTAGAGTGGCATTCTTCATTTACTCTTAGTTTGGATGCTTGGAATTCATACCATGGCATCGGATGAGTTTCAATCTTTTCCATACTTGTATTTTGCTGAGTTTCTTCTGTTGCCCGAACTTGAGTTCACATTTTTATTTGAAATTGGCGAATATAAGCTAAGGAGCTGCTAGGAAGGTTAGGTCCAACGCCTGATTGCTTTTCTGCCAGGTAGCTTTCTGGTAAGAGCTTGAGTTTGAAACACAATTGACCATTGTAGTGATGCCTACGTGTTCGCTTGGTTATTGGTAAAGATATATCACTTGAAAAGTGGGTGGATAGTAGTTGAGGTATCTCATGATAGAAGGCATTCGAGATAGTAGTTTTTCTGTGATATACTGAATAGATTCAAGGTGGCCCAATTATACTTTGACTTCCGCTCTTGATGATTTCTCCGACATTGGATACAAACTGCAGTCCGAGTGGAAAAAACCATTCATGATACCTTTTGAATTGCATGTTTGATTTCGAACTATTAGTTATATGTTCTTTAGGTGGGTATATGATACCATAAGCTTATTTGAACCTCTATGTTCTAGGGAGAGTGCCTCATGTTCAAGCAGGCATCTTCAGCAGCCACTGAATGAGTTGCCAAGCATAAATCAAGCTTCATCTCGTAAGAAGCTGACTGGTGGAATTAATGGAGGTGTTATTAATGAGGTTACATTGAAATCTTTGGATTATAGAAGGGACTTCCTCTTCCCGCTCTCTCTCTTATTGCATAATACAAGACCTGTTGGTCGTCAGGTACAATGATGATGCATCTAGAAATTCTTGATGTGTATTTTGTTTTTCTTTTGTTTTTAATTGTGTTTTCACTTATACTAACTTTTGATATTTTGTTATATTTCAGGACACTGTTCAGCTTTTCATTATGATCATGCTTCTGGCTGATCTTTGTGTCACTCTTCTAACATTGCTTCAGTTCTATTGGATTTCTTTGGGAGCCTTCCTTGCTGTGCTGCTGATACTTCCTCTGTCCTTGCTTTCTCCATTCCTAGCCGGTTTGAATGCCTTATTCAGCAGAGAGCCTAGAAGAGCTTCACTTGCTCGCATATTTGCACTGTGGAATGCTACATCTTTATCTAATCTTGTGTGTTTCATTTACTTACTGGAACTACTCTTGAATTAGCTATGAATACATTGTTTCTGTTGATCTGTCAGTGAAATATAGATCAGCTGATAAATCTTGCATAGATCTTATGCATCTGAGTTGCTTCCTGCAGGTTGTAGCTTTTATCTGTGGCATCATCCATTATGATCTTTATTTCTGGAAGTCGGTTGACGAGGGAAACACATGGAACATTGGGAGGTGAGCTCATCTTTCTGCTCACGAATTTGTGATATATTTTACACTGCAGGGTTGTTTGGAACATTAATTTTGAGCATAAAACCGAGGATTAGAGCTTTATCAAGAAGTTCTTGGTTGGTGGACCACAAAATGGCCATGATCCTTGCATTTCGCATTTCATGGGAGATACCAAGTCCATGGGTGTCATGGGCTTGACAAATCCTCCTCCCCGTATGGGTTTGTGGAATCCCATTCCTTCAAATCTGTGGATTCCGATGGTCGAAACTAAATGGCATTCATCAAATTGGCCCCTAAATAATGGACAGGTCGTTCGAAAAATCTCAGTTTGATTCTTCCCTGTCTATATTTTTCATGCTGTTGTGAACCAATGTTTGCTGGGAATGGCCTTCCCCATTAGATTTTGATGCAACATTATTGTTGGCCATTTGAAGTTATATAAAAGTTTCCCGAAAGCTGCTTCGAGCACCAATTGCTAATTAAAGTATTGCCGGCAGTTGTGTTCCTATTGGTCCTTTCCCATTGTACAATTATCGGTCATCTAGTCCATGATAGAAATTCCGGGCTATAATTTTGGCCGATTCAGTTTTCCTTCGTTCTCAAACTGTTATTTCTCTTGTTGGGGTTTAATTGCTTCTGATATTTCGATCAGGGAGGACGATGGATGGTGGTTTTTGCCAACGGTCCTTGCGCTAATGAAGTCGATTCAAGCTCGTATTGTGGATCTCCACATTGCTAATCTTGAGATTGAGGACTTCTCTCTCTTCTGTCCAGATCCTGACGCTTTCTGGGCATATGAATCTGGTCCTTGATTTTGCTACAGCAAAAAACATCCGATTGAAATTCTGTATATATCAACTTCATTCTCCGCTTCTTGGTTCCATTGGCCGCGCTGTGTAAATTCCTACGAGTGTCTTGTTTTGAAGCCTCTGTCACAGGTCAGTTGTGCAGTTTTGTTCTTTGATTTTTTGTTGGTGTATGATGGTGGAACAAGAACTAGAAGAAAGACTGGGAGCAGGATGGTGTATTCGTGGTTTGTGTACAAAAATTAGTAAGGGTAATGCTATTAGCTTGGCAAATGTTTTTTTTCTTCTCACTGTAGCATATTTTTCTCTTTCGAGTAACGTAGGGCATGAGGATTTGTATGAAAATTGAAAGGTGCCAGAGTGCATTAGTCGAAAGCATCGTTAACCAGCGCTCAAATTCGATTAGCATTCCTACATATATGTTCAAAAGCATATCCATTGTGCTTAGCACAAACCAGACAAGCCTAAGCCAAAAAAAAGCGCAACGACTCAAAGATGAAGGTGCTTAGCAGCCAATGAGAGTCATATAAAGAAGGTGCAAGCATGCTTCCGAATTCCGGTAAGGGAATATCCAGAATCTCCAGGAAAAAGTGGGATGAATAGTTGAGTACTAGCATTCTGAAGAAAGGTGATCTTGCGATTTCTGCAGATTAGAGGGACCAATTTGGATAATTGCCCCTTTTACTATAGTATAGATAATAGACTGAAAAGTGGCGCCGCGCGAATGGTAAAGAGTTCAGTGGGTTTATGTTGATCAGAGCCATCTTAAAGCTTGCCGCCATTCTGATACAGGTGCCTGTTAGAGGAATCTGTAACGAGCTTACTTCGGCATCGGTTATAACGTTGAAGAAGCTCAGAATTAGAAACGGCTAGCTGTTTCCGTTCATCGAAAGACGCAGGTGTGATGTTAAGTCCGTCATTCCCATGTTAACTGGCTCGGGAGTTCGGTATAGAGGTTAGTATTTCCATACGTGGGATATATTCAAAAATCTATTAATTTCTGCGCGGTGAACTGGTTGCCTCAGTCGAAATATCGGTGATCGCATGTTGTTGAACTCACGGTTCCGATTGATTTCATTACTCGTTTGCTTCCTGCTTTAAATTTTAACCCACCAAGTGTTTGATAGAATGTCTGTGAGAGCAAGGAGTGCTGCTTAGATGCATTTGCAGTCTGCCTACCGTACCTTCTTCTTCTTTCTGATAATGGTTGCATTATGCTGGTAGTTATAAGTGATCAGGGTGCTTGCTGTTTTGTTGTGAATGCAAGTATTTGATCGAAAAGCCATGGTCTTTGTGTATTCCAATTATATGTGAACTTTGTTGATTTTGCGTGCTATGTCTGTGATAACTCTGATTGACCCTTATACCATTTTGCAGCTCACCATCTTCGGTCGAGATTGTGGTAGACTTGCTTTGCTACTGGGTCGTTGTGGATTGATTCTTCGTTGACTTCAGTATTTTCATCAAAAGCTATTCGGTGAAATTAGAGCAAACCTGCATGATACCCATGATGATAAATTCTATTCGCAGACGGCCACTTGCAGCATATATCACTTTAAGATCGAAAACCACCGCCGCACAGTATGTAGAATCGAGAGCCAGGGACGCTGTGTTTGAGAAATTCATGGACAAGTACAAAAACCTCCTGAAAGTCATTGCCATCCAAGACCTTATTCTTTCAAACCCCACTAGAACCCCACCTTCAGTCTCCCTTGATTTCCTCAACAGACTCTCCCAGAAGCTACACCTGAATCGTGGGGCAGCCTCTTTCCTCCGTAGATACCCTCACATTTTCGACATCTACTATGAGACAACGGTCTCTCAGCCCTTTGTCAGACTAACTGATGTTGCTACACAGATTTGTCGTGAAGAAGCCGAGGCAATCACTGCAACATTGCCAGCTGTTGTGGACCGGTTGATTCTGCTTTTATCCATGTCTAAGTCTAAATCTTTGCCACTCCGTGCCATCTTCAAGGTTTGGAAGGAGCTCGGGCTTCCGGATGATTTTGAGGATTCGGTTATATGTCAAAACCCACATATTTTCTCACTCCAGGATGCCCATGAACCTCACACACACATCTTGAAGTTGGTGGATGAGTTTCCCTTGCGTCATCTTAGGCCTGCAGTTGAGGACTGGAGGGTCACAGAGTGTAGTAAGGAGAAAAGTGAAATGAATAGTCCTGTTGAAATGCAGTATTGCTTCAAGCATCAATACCCATCTGGAATGCGCCTGAGCAAGAATTTCAGGGCTAAGGTGAAGGAATGGCAGAGTCTGCCTTATATGGGTCCTTATGAAGAGCTGAGGGAGATGAAGCCATCTAAGGTGGGGATGAGAAGACTTGAGAAAAGAGCAGTTGCTATTGCCCACGAGTTCTTGAGTTTGACAGTTGAGAAGACGATAGAAGTTGAGAAGATCAGCCATTTCAGGAAGTGGTTTGAGATTGAGTTGAACATGAGAGACTTGTTCTTGGATCATCCAGGGATTTTTTACTTGTCTACAAAGGGCAAGAGACATACAGTATTCCTTAGGGAAGCTTATGAGAGGGGTCGATTGATTAACCCTAATCCTGTGTACAATGTAAGACGAAAGCTTTTAGACCTTGTCGTTATGGGACGGCATCAATTTCCTTGCGATAATTGAGGCCATGGGTGGTTTGGTTACCTGGAAGAAAAAACTATGGTCCAAAGCGTCCTTCCCTTATTAAGTTCTAGGATTTCAGACCTATTCTTATTATTATTAGATCTTGAAATGAAACTGGAAACTTGTTGATTCAGGCAACCAAAAAGAGCAAGTGGCTGAAACGTCCAGGCAACTAGGAGTCCTGATATGCAACGTCCAGGCAACTTTGAAATCTGGAACATGAGTTTGAGATTGTTTTCTATCTTCCCATTAATCCAAGCTAGGGAGAGGTACTGCCCCAGTTCGTTTTGGATTGCTTGATTCCATCTCCAGGATTTCTGCAAAGAAACATCTGGTTTTGGATTAGAACTTTAACAATGGGTTTCTAGGATGATGCAAGGCTTCTTGGTGGAAGAGCAGAAGAGTGTGAAGCAAGTGTTGGAAGATTCAGAAGGCGAAGGAAAAGAGCTGATGGCTCAAGGAGTTAGACAACTAGTAGATAAAAGACTCTTACTAAGTAGTCGTTGCCCTTTGAGCTGTGGAAAGACAGTATATCTCTTCTTAGTTCGATAGTTGTATGTAGAAACCGTATCCTTAGTCAATATGATCGAATGTACAGCTTAAAATCGTTCCACAATAAGAAATGAACAGAATTTTCATAGTCAAATAAATTGAAGTTGAACACCATCAGTGAATTGGTAAAGTTGAACACCATCTGTAAAATTGGTAATTCAGCCCTTGAAATCTCCAGCTCTCCAGGCCATTTGGATCCTCTTGATAAACTCGAGAACTCGTGGCCAAAAAACAATTTGTCAAGAGTGGGATTTGAACCCACGCCCTTTCGGACCAGTACCTGAAACTGGCGCCTTAGACCAACTCGGCCATCTTGACTTTGTTGAACAAATTGTTATCATTTTTTATTTGAATTTTGTTATATTTTGACCACTACAAACAAGAGTGAAGTCTCTTGCTCGTTATTACTTATTAGGTTATGCTAAAGCCAAGTTCCAAACCCCAAAAACAATTACTATCAACTTGTATATCTATTAACAAACTATAACTGATTTTGTAATGTAAACACACCTTGTATTTCAATGATACTTCTACTTTTTACATAAATAAAATAATATACAACTAAGTGACAGAAGAAGAAAAAAAAAAGAAGAGGCCAATCATATCCTCTTCTCTTAAAATTCTAATTCTCGATTGGACACTTACTTATACCTCCATTACTCCCACCTTCTCGACCTTAGCTTTCGTCATTCACATTGTCCTATCCAAAGAAATTGAAATCTCGATTTAAATCCTATAATTTTACATAGGGGTGTTTAAACGGTGTGGGTAGGTAACCGTTTTAACCGGTAGTATTTGGCTAATTTGGTTTGGTTAAATTTTTTAGCTTGTTTAGCTGGTTTTGTTTGGTTTCAGACACTCCTAACCAATCAAACAAAATTAACCAGGTAAGCAGTTATCCATATATCTCATCTATATTATATACACATAGTTAATACTTAGAATAAACTGATAAACACTCAAGAGTCTTACATTCCTTCCTTTTAGACTCATCAATAATAAAGCTCAATATTGTTCCTATATTGTATATTTGTATTATTAGAGTGTAGATGTAGAGCATGATATATGAACGCTTAATTTAGATAAAACTCATATAATATATTAAATGAAAACTTGAAAGGATTGTATTTTTCAACCTATGATAATTGCTGAGATACTAATTCAATTCACACAATCACAACAATTAATTAACTTCTATTGATTGTAAGATAATTGTATTAGATGCATATATTTATGTAAAGGGTTAACTATAGCTATGCGTTCATTGTAATGTTTTATTCATCATATAAATTGTGAATTGAGGCATTATCCGAAAATTCTCACTTAATGATAATGTGATGTAATATTGATTAATGTGGTTAACCAATTAACCAAATCGATTAAACTTTAGTTTAGCTAATTTGGTTATTTTATTAGTTTGGACTAGGGGTGGCTATACGGTCCAGTCTGGTTAAATTGGACCAAATTGATCTGGTCCCAGTCCGGTCTTTTCGAGAATATAAGGACCAAAGATTGGATTGGATACAGTCCGGTCTTGATCCGGTCCGGTCCCAATTTGATCTTGATTTTAGATTGAGCTTGTGGGGATTTGAGTGTTGGAGTCTCTTATCCGGTCTTTATCCGGTTTTTTACCTCAAATCTGAGACCGAATATGAGATTGGATTGTTTGCTATCCGGTCCCGGTCCGGGATATACGATCCGGTTTCGGGTAAAACCAAACAGTCTGTACCAAATAGCCAGCCCTAGTTTGGACGGTTTGGTTATGATATTGTATTTCATGATTAATAGAATTTTTCCTTATTTGGTTTGGCAATTACCATGGTAACCATTTGAACACCCCTAATTTTGCGTACCTATTCTAGTTCTGATTTCACTATAAAATCTATGGACCTTAAAATCTTACAGTATTCACGATTTAAATCATTAAAATCTTATGATTTTACTATTCGAATCTTTAAGTCAATTTTACTTATTTCCTTCATAATTTGCAAAATCACGCCTCTTTTCCTTCTCATCCACCAACATCATCTAGTTCTCTCTCACACTAACCACCATTGATCATAATCAATTCACATTGAAAAATTGAGCATTAAGAACATTCAAATTTTATAGTATAAAACTTTGTTCTCCATTATTCATAAACACGAAAAGGATTTTAGTCTTGTTGACAAGCATGCAATTGCTAATAAAGAATAATAAAGCATCAATAAATAAAATCTTCTTATGAACACAAAAACTGTTTAAAAAAAAAACTATACAACATTGATTACAAAATATCATGTACACAAATGAAATGAGCTTCAATATCCTCTGCACAAATCCCCCATACAAAAACAATACTTACCACACAAATAGTGTATACACACAAACCCATTCCTTAAACAAATGCTAGAATTAAATCCCATGGTCCATTATCCATCCAAGTTACTTCAAAATCAGGGGATTTAAGTGTAGCATTTGTTCGTTGAATAAGTAGTAGTAGCAGTGGAGATCTCAGTAGGACATGAATTTGGTGGGGGTGAATCCCATGCATCATCTGGTGCAGGATTTGCAGGCAAGCTGAAAGGAAAGCCAATCGACCTAATCTCACTCCCAACCCACTGATGATTGTGGTTATGATTATCATCATCTTCTCCACCACTACTCTCCATCTCTTGATGCAGAGTACTGATGGAGAATCCACTGAACTGCTGCCCCTGCCCTTCAAATTCCAGGGCTTCGGAAGAGGCCTTGTTGGACAAAACTGAACCCGACGAAGTTTCGATCGAGGAAAAAATGAAGTTGTTGGGAGCTTGAGGGAATGGGAACAGCGGTGGAGGAGAGAAACTTGGAGTTGAAGCTTGTTGTGGGAAGAATGGTGATGATCCAAGCTCTGACACGCAAGAAACCACGTCGGATGAGGAGGTGGCTTGGTGTTGGTTAAGGTGCTGGTTGAAGAAGTGGTGATCAGACTGTGTCGTTTCGTGATGTAGAGGCGACGACATCATCCATGGATGATGAGACAGAGCTCTCTGCGCCATGGAATTCGTCTTCTTGAATATCCGACATATCGCCCATGCTTCCTGTTTATTGCCAAGACCATCAACAAACAAATGTTCAAGACTAACTTCTATGACAAGAAACAGTGAAACCTAAGCCAATTCATCTTGCAATGTTTCTTTTTTCTTGCAAAATTATAGACAAAGAATGTAATTTTTTTCTTACGTTGGGAGGAAGGGATTTGTCGAGGAGTTTCTTCGGCTGAAGGGATTGCTGATTTTGATCGGCGCCGGGGATAGGAGGGAGCCGGAACTCGTGCATCATCCAATCAGTCTTGATCCCTTTGGCAGCTCTTCCTCTGTAGAAAACCAATGACTTCTTCAGCCCAATGCACTTGGTTCCTTCCGATGAGTAAATCGGACGGTCTGTTCCGGTCGCCTTCCAGAAACCGGCTCCGGTTACCCGGTTCGGCCTCGCGCTGTTCCTGTACTTCCGGTCCCTTGGACAGTAGAAATACCACTCTTTCTCCCCTGCAGTCGTCGCCACCCCTGTTTTTTCCGTTTTCAACGTGAAAGAAAGCAACCGACTTTATTAGGAAAATGGCTCTCAGATGTTAACCCCACAGGCCCACCGGCCTCCACAATTTCAATAAAACAATGGAATCTGGTTTTGGAATTGGGTAGTAATTTAAATTTCCTAGTTTTATCTTTTCCTTGACGTGGGTGACTCTAAAACAGGGGAACTTGCTAGAATATCATACCTATCTTTTAAGTATGAAAATGAAAGCAAGAAGATGGAAGAGTTCTCTGCTATAAGGGATTTCATGAACCCAGAAGGAATTTTCATATGGGCAGGAGGTTTTACTATCAAAGCATGAGTTTTTTACTGAAAAGAGTGAAAAACAGGGGAATTCAGGGAAGTTGAGAAAACAGGGGAGGCTGGCTTACTTGGAAGATCCCAGGGGTCGTATTTGTAGATATCGACTTGCTTAATGAGCTCAATAGCCAGAGACCTCTGCTGTATTTTCCTCTTCAGATAGAACCCTACCAGCTCCTCGTCCGTCGGATGGAACCTGAAACCGGGCAGCATCACGTCATCGCTGCCCTTATCCGTGTCACTCTTCTCCTCCATTTGACCGAGAAAAAAACAGAGCTTTGAGCAGTAAGGGGGAAGCAGAAAGAGTTTAGTACAGGTTTTTGGGTTTTGAGTGGGTGGATCTCCAAATTGGTTCTTTATATGATGGGGTTTTGAAGAATTGCGGAAGACTTCTTTGCACACTCTGTTGAAGGTTCAATTTTCAAAAGCCAAGAGCAAAATGACAAAGGAACCTTCAAGTTGATGTTTAGTGAAGAGTATATTAGTAATATTAGGTTTAAGTACTCTTCCCATGGGGATTGGATTGTGGGGTTGAGTGAGGCAGAAGTTGAAAATATGAATTCTTCCCCAAAAGAAGGATCAGTTTTACATTCAAAAACCCTCGTGAGATTTGCTCTGTAGTGGGAATGCTATCAGTTAAACTATCAATGAGTCCAAATGAATGGAATAGAATATGATTTAAACATTGGTCTACTATTACTATATTCTACTATATGTTATCTGCCTACCAAAGATTTCAAAGGATAATCTGCCCTTTGCGATTTCTTTATACATTTATACAAGTATAGTATTTTTTTTTTTTTTTTTTTTTTGCCAAAAAGTATAGTAATGTTTCATCTGGATGCATATGGGATTAGTCTTTTTTCAGTTCCTCCCCAAGTTTGTGCTAACAATCCATGAAATGAAACCTTGGTGAGAATAGTTTTTTGTTTTTTGATAATCGATTGTGTTGTTTATAGTATATGTTATTTGTCGTGATATTATAACGTTTATGATACATATGCAAAGTTGGATGTTGGTTATTGTATGATTCTTCGAAAATTGATGCATTAGAGTCTTGTTTTGCACTCACTTTAATGCTAAAAAAATTCAAAGAAAGTTCCTTGCTAGCTAGTGATTGTTTCGCCTAGTTGAACACCTTGTGAAAGAATATGTGTAGTATAAGTCTACAAGATAGTTTCAAGTGACTTTGGTTCTTTGTCAATTTGATCCCTCTCACTTTCTTATCCAATAACAAAATCAACCAAGAACAATATTATGACACTCCAAATATAATAAATCGTATGCCACATTTTCTCATCACATCCCCATTATCCAACCCAAGTAGTGCATAAACTTCACACAAATCTCTTCCCTCAATAGGTGAAACAATGAATTCCATTCTTCCATAATATTATTTCAAATATGCTTTTCCCATAATGAGTGATATAAATTTGAGTGCATGTAAGAAAATGACACATCCCATTGGCAATATATTTTGTTGGCTTAAATCATGTTTAGGACTTCAAATGAGTAAAGACGACTAATGTGACAAACTAAATGGAAAAGAGTCCATACTTTATTGCATAATTTATTATTTTAAATTAAATATCCTTATCAAAGCTAGCCTAAGCATCATGACTTGATTCAAGAGACAAAAATTGTTAGGGAAAACAAACTCATGTTGTCAAGCTAGGGGTCAATAAAACACAGCCCCTTAAAGCTTATGAAATTTGTTTATATCATATCCGAATTGACATGTAAATTATTCAAGGATTAGAGATTTATTAAAGTTAGGTAGAGAATGATGCATGTTTCAAAGGTATATTTGGCTTCCAAACTAAACATTACCAGTCTTCTTATCTTACCCACGCTGGGACTGACAAGCAAAGTGAGGAATTTGCAGCAAGAACAAACAAAGTAAGGAATCAGAACAGCTACCAAAGTAAGGAAGGAGAGGGAAACCAAAATATATACTTTCCTCCGCAGACTGCAGAGGTACAAATAGGAATACTAAGACTTTTTCAATCTGTATGATCTTGGATCACAGGGATGGTTCAATCTGTAAGATGTAGCTGAATAGGGATGAATTCACTCCGTGTCATCAATTTTACTTGGGAGTAACCAAAACTATGCAAAGAGAGAGCTGACTGACCTGCTTCCTCTGCTTCAAAATCGTCATATCCGCGACCAAGCGAAACCGATCATAACAGCAAAAGAAAATGTTCGTGAGAGGTTTCACAAGGAGAACAACCACCTGAAACGAAATTGACAGGAAAGTTGGAGACTTTCAAGAGGGATGAGGAATAGTTTTATCACAGCCGTCCAACGTATCAGTAGGAGAAAAGAGATGGGAGCAAAGCAATTGTGGGAAGAGCGAACAAAACCAGAGGACTGGAGTACAGGAATAGAGAGAAAAACCTGCAAATTGGTTAAGTGAAATGAGTGGACCACAAATGAAAGAGTGATCAAAAACGAAAATATCCCTTCAACTCTCTCTTTTCTTGTGCCAACCCAATCTTCTCAACCCTCTCTGCTTCCCTTATCAAACCCCATTCCCCAGTTTAGGAATTAGGGTTCTAGACTCGGGGGAAATCAAAAATCACAACCACCATTGTGGCAAAAAAATGGCGTCCTCTACTAGCCGCAAATTCCCCTCCCTATCTTCCATCCCTCTCCTCATCCTGATAATCACCTCCACCGCAGCAGAACCCAGATCCGCAACCGCCGCCGAAGACCCAACCCCGACCGCAGAAGTTATTCTGCTAACAGGCCAAACAGTTAGCAGATACTAACAGGGCAGGATGAAGGGCCACGTCGGCCCATGTTTGATCCAACGGAGGAGCTCTCGGCTGGGAGGTGGCTCACTTAAGTGAGCTGAAGGTGGGCCAACAAGCAAAATCCGGCCAAAATCCGGCCCAGCGTGCGGCGGGCAGCGGAGCTGAGCAAGTGGCGTGGTGGGCTCGGCTTGATTTTGGGCGGGAGAATGGAGAGGAGTGGAAAGAGAGCCAAATTTTATGGGCCCATGTTAGTATTATGTATGTGTTGTTTGTGTGGATATTTATTTGTTCTCAGTTGATATTAATTTATGTTATGTTGATATTGCTTTGTATCATTGTTGAAATTTTGGGCCGTATTATTCCTTTGCAAAACAATATCCTACACACTATCAAGTCCTAACACGTAAGGCTTGCAACCTTAGTTAGGGCTGCCCGCCGAGGGCCCATGGGCCGAAGGCCCATTAAATAATATTAGTTTTTATTGACGAGCGGTTTATTTTTTAGGGTTGATTGTTTAGGTTTGGTTTATGGTTTACGGTTTACGGTATAGAGGTTAGGGTTAAGGTTTCAACATAAGGGTTTGGGTTCTCTTTAGGGTTTAGGGTTTTGTCTGGTTAGTATGAATATCTATTATTTCCTAATTATATTGTTTTTAGAGTTTATTTAGTAGTGTTGATTGTTTAGGGTTTAGGGTTCAGTGTTTAGGGTTTAGAGTTTAGGGTGATAGAGTTTATTTGAACCCGAGGAAACATTCCCTTAGTTCATGTGTTTGGATATTTTTGTGGAACCTTTGAATATTATCAGCTTGGGAAAACAATAATAGTTTTATTTTTTTAGTGTTTAGTGATTAGGGTGATAGAGTTTAAACTTTAGGGTTTAGGGTTAGGGTACAAATAATAGATATTAGTTTGTGTGTTGTGGATACTTGTCTTTCCTAGTTGTAATACTTTTTCTGACATTCTGATATTTGTTCAAAATATTATGATTTTGTTCCGGGTTGTGTGGGTATTTATTTGAACCCGAGGAAATATTCCTTTAGTTCATGTGTTTGGATATTTTTCTGGAACCTTTGAATATTATCAGCTTGGGAAAACAATAATAGTTTTATTTTTTTATAGTTTAGTGATTAGGGTGATAGAGTTTAGGGTTTAGGGTACAAATAGTAGATATTAGTTTGTGTGTTGTAGATACTTGTCTTTCCTAGTTGTAATACTTGTTTGTGACATACTGATATTTATTCCAAATATTATGATTTGTTTCCGGGCTGTGCAGATATTTATTTGAACCTGAGGAAACATTCCCTTAGTTCATGTGTTTGGATATTTTTGTGGAACCTTTGAATATTCTCAGCTTGGGAAAACAATAATAGTTTTATTTTTTTAGTGTTTAGTGATTAGGGTGATAGAGTTTAAAGTTTAGGGTTTAGGGTACAAATAGTAGATATTAGTTTGTGTGTTGTGGATACTTGTCTTTCCTAGTTGTAATACTTGTTTCTGACATTATGATATTTATACAAAATATTATGATGTTTTTCCGGGTTGTGTGGATATTTATTTGAACCCGAGGAAATATTCCTTTAGTTCATGTGTTTGGATATTTTTCTGGGTTGTCTGGGTATTTGTCTGAGTTATCTGGATATTTTTCTGGGTTGCTGGATATGTGTCTGGGTTGTCTGGATATTTTTCTGGGTTGTTTGGATATTTGTCTGGGTTGTATGAATACTTGTCTTTCCTAGTCATAATACATGTTTCTCACATACTAATATTTATTCAAAATATTTTGATTTGTTTCCTGGTTGTGTGGATATTTATTTGAACCTGATGAAATATTCCCTTAGTTCATGTGTTTGGATATTTGAATTGAATCTGAGGAAATATTAACTTAGTTCATGTGTTTGGATATTTGTGTGGAACCTTAGAATATTCTCGGATTGAGCACATCTTGATAGTTTTATTGTTTTAGTGTTTAGTGATTAGGGTGATAGAGTTTAAAGTTTAGGGTTTAGGGTTTAGGGTTAGGGTTTAGGGTTAGGGTTTAAGGTTAGGGTTAGGGTTAGGGTACAAATAGTGGATATTAGTTTGTGTGTTGTGGATATTAGGGTTAGGGTTCAGGGTTCAGGGTTAGGGTTTAAGGTTAGGGTTTAGGGTTAGGGTTTAAGGTTAGGGTTAGGGTTTAGGGTTAGGGTACAAATAGTGGATATTAGTTTGTGTGTTGTGGATACTTGTTTTTTCTAGTTGTAATACTTTTTACTAACAAAAATTTTGGCATAAGTTGTAATACTTGTGTGGATATTTTGGCATAAGTTCCAAAAATCATCTTACTGATCTTTTCTACTACGTCGACAGCGAGGCCAAGTTTGATGAGGGTTTAGAGTTCTGGTTTTCAATTTGTGAAAGATTGGAATATTGTGTCTTACATCAAATTAAACACACTAGCAAGTCCTACACACTATCAAGTCCTAACACGTAAGGCTTGCAACCTTAGTTAGGGCTGCCCGCCGAGGGCCCATGGGCCGAAGGCCCATTAAATAATATTAGTTTTTATTGTTTATAGTTTATTTTTTAGGGTTGATTGTTTAGGTTTGGTTTATGGTTTACGGTTTACGGTATAGAGGTTAGGGTTAATGTTTCAACATAAGGGTTTGGGTTCTCTTTAGGGTTTAAGATTTAGTCTGGTCAGTATAAATATCTATTCTTTCCTAATTATATTGTTTTTAGAGTTTATTTAGTAGTGTTCATTGTTTAGGGTTTAGGGTTAAGGGTTTAGGGTTTAGAGTTTAGGGTGATAGAGTTTATTTGAATCTGCGGATATTTAGCCGGGTTGTGCGGATATTTATTTGAACCTGAGGAAACATTCCCTTAGTTCATGTGTTTTATTTTTTTAGTGTTTAGTGATTAGGGTGATAGAGTTTAAAGTTTAGGGTTTAGGGTTTAGGGTTAGGGTACAAATAATAGATATTAGTTTGTGCGTTGTGGATACTTGTTTTGGCTAGTTGTAATACTTGTTTCTGATATACAGATAGTAGATATTAGTTTGTGTGTTGTGGATACTTGTCTTTCCTAGTGGTAATAATTGTTTCTGACATATTGATATTTATTCAAAATATTGTGATTTTTTTCCGGGTTGTGTGGATATTTATTTGAAACTGATGAAATATTCTCTTAGTTCATGTGTTTGGATATTTGTGTGGAACCTTTGAATATTCTCAGCTTGGAAAAACAATAATAGTTTTATTTTTTTAGTGTTTTATTGATTAGGGTGATAGAGTTTAAAGTTTAGGGTTTAGGTTTTAGGGTTAGGGTACAAATATTAGATATTAGTTTGTGTGTTGTGGATACTTGTGTTTCCTAGTTGTAATACTTGTTTCTGACATACTGATATTTATTCAAAATATTTTGATTTGTTTCCGGGTTGTGTGGATATTTATTTGAGCCCGATGAAATATTCCCTTAGTTCATGTGTTTGGATATTTTTCTGGAACCTTTGAATATTATCAGCTTGGGAAAACAAAAATATTTTTATTTTTTTATAGTTTAGTGATTAGGGTGATAGAGTTTAAAGTTTAGGGTTAGGGTACAAATAGTGGATATTTGTTTGTGTGTTGTGGATATTTTTTGAAAAGATTTTAATACTTTTTACTAAGGAACTGATAGTTATTTTAAATAATTTGTCTGGGTTGTCTGGATATTTGTCCGGGTTGTCTTGGTATTTGTCTGGGTTGTCTGGATATTTAATTGAATCTGAGCATAATGGTTTCAGATTGTTTTCCCCGTAGTGAAACAACTGAAATGACAGGTACACCACGGATTCAACACAAAATACTCTACCACTAACTTTTTGGTACTGTTTTATCGTTCTTGGTCATACATACAAATCCAAGTTCCCCGTGAAAGTTGAAACCATTGCTTAATTACTAATTACTAGGATGAGTTCGTACTACATCACACATGCAAATCCAAATGAAATTCACAACTTCTGGAATAGCAGGCTGCCTTGTTTTTTCTCCTTGACGAGATCTCGATGCAACCATTTTCGCTCTCTTCATCCCGGGTTGTTCCTGAAACACAGTTATATATTAAGCAAAATATCCATAATCCTTGGACAAATAACTAAAACGCACACTTATATACAATACAATTATCGTAGTAAAGCAAAAGTGTATCCAAACGGAGATAACTGATATCCATGAAAAAAATATCCATAATACCCAGAAAAATAACTAAAACGAACATTTAAGTATCCACATTAACCGAACTGATATCCACACATCAGACACATCAGTTTATTTTTTTTGCAAATACATACAATTATTATCGTAGTAAAGCAAAAGTGTATCCAAACGAAGATAACTGATATCCATGAAAAAATATCCATAATACCCAGAAAAATAACTAAAACGAACATTTAAGTATCCATATTAACCGAACTGATATCCACACATCAGACACATCAGTTTATTTTTTTTGCAAATACATACAATTATTATCGTAGTAAAGCAAAAGTGTATCCAAACGGAAATAACTGATATCCATGAAAAAATATACATAATACCCAGAAAAATAACTAAAACGAACATTTAAGTATCCGCATTAACCGAACTGATATCCACACATCAGACACATCAGTTTATTTTTTTTTGCAAATACATACAATTATTATCGTAGTAAAGCAAAAGTGTATCCAAACGGAGATAACTGATATCCATGAAAAAATATCCATAATACCCAGAAAAATAACTAAAACGAACAGATAGGTATCCACATTAACAGAAGTGATATCCACACATCAAACACATCAGTTTATTTTTTTTAGCCAATATAACTAATCGAGAAACGAAGTGAGAAAATAGCTAATATCATTGAACTAATATCCATCATGGCATAAAAATATCCAGACCTAGCATACAAATATCTATGCATCACATAACCAATATCCGAACAATCAACCACCAAACAATATCCACATTAAACTAAATGGTATCCCATGCCAGCTAAACAATTTTCCAGCTAAAAAAATATCAAATTAACGAGCAAAATCCAGAAACCCCAAACAATATCGACATAAAAAAACGAATCCCCCAAATTAAAAGAAATCCAAATCGAAAGAAATCCCAGCCACAAAAAAATCACAGATTCCCCAAATCGAAAGAAATCCAAATCTCCAAATCAAAAGAATCCCAGATCCCCCAAATCGAATCTCAAATCCCCCAACAAGAAATCACAGATCCCCCAAATCGAAAGAAATCCAAATCCCCAAATCAAAAGAATCCCAGATCCCCCAAATCGAATCTCAAATCCCCCAACAAGAATCCCAGATCCCTAACAATGAATCTCAGATCCAAAAAACGAAGCAAAAAAAAAAACTTAGATCCAGTCGAATCTATGAAACCCTAAATCAAATATATGTAATCCAGCCACAGAAAATCCCAGATCCCCCAAATCGAAAGAAATCCAAATCCCCAAATCAAAAGAATCCCAGATCCCCCAAATCGAATCTCAAATCCCCCAACAAGAATCCCAGATCCCTAATAATGAATCTCAGATCCAAAAAGCGAAGCAAAAAAAAAAAAAACTCAGATCCAGTTGAATCTATGAAACCCTAAATCAAATATATGTAATCCAGCCACAGAAAATCCCAGATCCCCCAAATCGAAAGAAATCCAAATCCCCCAAATCAAAAGAATCCCAGATCCCCCAAATCGAATCTCAAATCCCCCGACAAGAATCCCAGATCCCTAACAATGAATCTCAGATCCAAAACACCTACATCAAAGGAAGATGCTTACCTCAAAAAATTTCTTCTCTTCGCAGCTGGTGTAGTCGTCTTACTCGCGCTACTAGCGTCGATGTCTTCCTTCTTGCTCGGCCGACTTCGTCTTTCTTCAAGCACCGCTACCGGCGTTGCCAAGCACCGCCGTCTTCTTCCTGCCCGTATCCCTCGTCGCCGGCGTCGTGTTTCTCACACCTGTCGTTGTCGAGAGGTATTTTGAATTATTTGGGAGAGAGAGAGGAAGAAGAAGAAGAAGAACAGAAGAGAGCAGTTTTGGAGAGTGGGAGAGAAAGGAAAATGAAATGATGGAGAGAGAAAAGAAAATGAAACATAAATGAAAATGTTGTTTTTTTTTAATTGTAAAAAAAAAAAGGAAGAGGCTTGGTTCAGCCGAGCCACAAGCTGCTCTTCTTCCCCTCCACCGTCCGATCGCGGCTCGCCTACGTGGCTTCTCATCTCACCGTGTTAGTATATGCTAACTACTAACACAGTTAGCAGAATAACGCTATTGAACCCCGACGCCATGGCCGCTCCAATTCCACTCCGTACTCTTCATGAACAAAAGCGGCGCACTCCAGATGATCGACCTCTGGTACGACTGGCCCAATGGCCGCAACTTCAACATCATACAGGACCAGCTGGGCAAGCTCACCTACGACGCCGAGTGGAACAACGGCACCTCATTCATGTACACCCTAGATTCCGATCGCGAATGCAAAACCCTCTACCCGGGCGTCGGCATCCTCCGACCCAACTGGCTCGACGGCGCCAATTACCTGGGCCAGCGCTACATCGACGGCTTCCTCTGCAATGTCTGGGAGAAGGTCGATTTCATTTGGTACTACGAAGACGTCGAGACCAAGCGCCCCGTCCACTGGGTTTTCTACACGGGGAGGCATGCTCATGTGATGACGTTTGAGGTGGGAGCCGTGCTGGAAGATGCTGGTTGGCAGGCCCCTGATTACTGCTTCGGCGAACAACAACGGGGGAAGGAGAGAAACCCTGCAGCAGGAAGAATTGAATCTGTGGTCGGTGTTAGGAGGTCCCTTTTCGGCTGACCGCATCAAAATTGTAAAATGTGCTTGCCATTCTCTTCTGCCTTTCTGATCGTTTGATTCTAGTTGAGCTCTCTCCACTTCTAGGATGAATAAAAGTTTTGGCACCGCCTCTGCTAGATTCCCACTTTCTTGGTCGTTAATGATTCGAGTCCAGCTGAGTTTTGCAATAATTTGGCCTCAGTTCGTTCAGAAAATTTCAAGTTCGTGCTCCGTTCGTTTATAAAAATAGAAGTTTGAATTTCATTTGGGATCGTCAAATGAACTTAATAAGCAAAAATCAAGTTCAAATGATAAAATGTCGATTGTCGCTTAATTTCAAGCTAGAATCTGCTCACAAGACACCAATATCAAACACCGCTCAATTGAATATTGAATAGATATTTTCATGTGTTTTTCATCAATACATGAAGAAGAATGAGAGGAGTCACAATGAAAAAAAGATCCAAACTCATCATTATTCAAGTCTTGACAAAAGTTGTGATTGACGAGGAAGAGTTCTTAAGGCGGTAGTTCGGATTAAATATTTAGAATTTTTGATAAATTAAAGTAAACAAAATCGTGTTTTGGATTTTTACCTATTATTAAGTTGTATGGGAAAACATTCTCACCCAAAAAAAATGTTGTACGCAAAACATGACCTTATAAGTAGGGCTGCAAATGAGCCGAGCCGAGTCGAGTTTTACCCTAGCTTGAGCTCGGCTCGTTAATAAACGAGTCGAGCTCAGCTCGTTAATAAACGAGCCGAGTCGAGCCGAGCTCGAGCTAGCTTGTTTATTAAAATCTTAACTTTTATTTGGTACTTCATTTTGTACATCATGATACATATGATTTATTTTGTTAGCGAATCTCATATTATACTTTGTTGGTATCATATATTATTTAGTTAATAAATTTTAACTACTCCAAATCATGTTATTTCATAGTATCGAAGCAATCTATGATGCATAATTTTTTTAAAAGTAGAAAGTTAGATATATTTGCTCACATACTAAACGTGTTAAACTTTATATATGGTGAGATATATAATTTAACAACCATATGAATTAAATCATAAGATATAGATTGATTCGTCCATAAGTTGGTAATCGAGTTGGCTCTCTAGCCACATGTTAATACATATCATGAGCTCTAAACAAGCCAGCTCACGAGTTTAGCTCAACAAGCCACCGAGTTGAGCTAGCTCGCGAGCTTCACGAGTTGAACAAAGGCGAGCTCGTGTTCGGATCGTTTATTAACGAGTCGATTTTCAAACGAGCTTTTCTCAAGTCGAACGCCGAGCCGCTCGCGAACAGCTCGACTCATTTGCAGCCCTACTTATAAGGCAGTTCAACAAATCATGTACGACAAATAATTTTAACAAAAATATACATATATACCCATTATTAAGCTATAAAAATGTGCTCGTTTCTATGCTTGCTATTCTCTTCTGCCTTGTGATCGTTTCATTCGAGCTGAGCTCACTTTACTTCTAGGATGAATAAAAGCTTTGGCACCGCCTCTAGTAGATTCCCACTTCTTGGTTGTTAATTATTCGAGTCGAGTTGAGGTTTGCTAAAATGTGAACTCAGTTCGTTCAAATAATTTCAAGTTCGTGCCTGGTTCATTTACAAAAATAGAAGCTCGAGCTTGATTTGGAATCGCCAAGTGAACTTAACAATCAAAAATTAGGTGTAGATGATAAAATGTTGATTGTAGCTCAAGTTCAAGCTAGAATCGACCCACAAGACAAATATCAAACAGTCAAACGCTTTGTATTAGATAACACATTAGTTTTTAGATTGATATACCTTTCCAAAAACTTTGATCCGTTTCAGACTCTTAGAAATAATGATGTCGTTTTGAGTTGTGACTCTCACCCAAACGACATAACCGGCTAACCCTATCTTGAAATTGGAAAATGAGGCACAATGAGCAGTCAAGAGTCAAGATGAGAGCCTCCCACCTCTGTCCTTCGTTTCCCAGAAGCAGTTCCTCGCCCCTAATATCGAACACGACCCTCAAGGCCTCAACCTAGAATTTCCGATTATCTTCATCCCTCTGCTTTGTTAACTCCAATTCGTTTCCCAGCAACCGCGCCCCTTTCATAATTGAAAACGTCAACCTAGAGCGGCGCCGCAGCGGCAAGTTTCGTCATCGCCGTCGTCGTGAAGTGTCACCCGACGAAGGCGTGAATTTAGGGTAATTGCTCCGCCACTCAATTTCCTTTCTCACTGTTTAGATCATTCTATCTCTTCGAGTTTTCCTCGCTTCAACCGTGGTGACAAATCTTGTTTCGCTGATCTTGGTCGATGGTCTCTATCACAACGAACAATCGTAGGGTTTCATCTCTTTGAGGTTGTAGCTACAGTTTTTTTGTGTTGGTTTTCATCTCTTTATAGGAGGCCACTTTTGACACGCCCATTCCAACATCTGTTAACTTAGCGGGATTCAGAGGGAGAACTTAGCTTAGCCAATCTCTTTCCCTACTTCGTGTCAGCTTCCTGTGCTGTGAAGTATTAGTTTATCGATTTTAACATGTGTCATGCATCTTGGCTTAGGAGGTTGATGTTTTTGAAATCTGATTGCCTTAAATCAGGGCCTTCTGCTGCTTATCTTGTTGCTGTCTTTTCTCTAGTCTAGTTACAGCCTGACTGGATATGGGAAATCCCTGTCGGTTCAGGCTATTGATTAAAAGAATACATTCTCACGTTGGTTGAATCGGGAGTTCTTTCTTAGTAATTAGTATAATCTATCTGGAGAACTTTGTGATTTTTGGAGATTTTCCTCCTTCATCGAATGCCAAAGCCTATTTGTTCTTTGTCGTGGACGTAGTTTCCCCTGAAATCATTCGTGGGCTTTTCTGCGTTGCTGTGAATTTTCTTCTCTGTGGGTTGCTAGTGAGGTACCAATTTTGAATTCCATCAGGTTCCTAGATGCTAAATATGATCATGTTTGTGTCTTTTTCCTACTTTGAATGTGAGCACAGCTTCCCCATTGATTCTGTTGTGAATTTTTGTGTCTTCTCTGTGTGATATTTGAAGTTACAGTGTTGCTAAGGGTATGTGTGCCCACTTTTCTTAGTTACATTGAAAGGTATTTGGTGAAACTTTAACAAACAGTGTAAAATGCACAAGGTCCTGTAATAAAATTATAATAGGGACAGACATAGGTGGCCAAAAGAGTGGATCAGTTGTGATAATAGTAATGCATCTGTAAAGATATTCTTTTGTCTTTGTTGGTGCGTCATGTGCCCGGAGAAGTACCTTTGATATTTGGGATTTCCTGGGACACAGAAAGTCTGAAATGCAATGTTTATTTTTAGCATTACATTATCACTTTCAGGACCAGTATGAAACTATCAGTGTTTCGCAGTCTGAATCTCCATAGTCCCTTAATGTACTATTCAACATTAGCTCCCAAGATTTCAAGAACAGATAGAGTTGTTAGTGCTTGTGCTCGTACTGCGAAAGCAAACTGGTGTATCACGAAGTTAAGTAGGGAAGGGAAGCTAAATGAAGCACGTGAAGTTTTTGATCAAATGCATACCAGAGATGTAATAACATGGACGGCAGTGATTAGTGGATATATCAAATCTGGATGGATTGAGGAGGCAAGAAGGCTTTTTGATAGAGATGATGCGATAAAGGATGTGGTCACATGGACTGCAATGGTTAATGGGTATTTGAAACTGAATCTCAAGTTAGAGGCAGAGAAATTGTTCATGGCAATGCCATCAAAGAATGTTATTGCATGGAACACCATGATTGGTGGGTATATGCATGTTGGTGAAGTAGATAAAGGGCTTGATTTATTCATGAAAATGCCCGAGAGAAATGTGGTTTCATGGAATTTGGTTATTACTGCATTGACAGAATATAGGAGGGTGGAGGAGGCAAAAATATTATTTGAAAAAATTCCTCAGAAGGATGTGGTTTCATGGACAACAATGGTGGCTGGTTTGGCAAAGAATGAGAGAATTGATGAGGCCAGGGAGTTATTTGAAAGAATGTCAGAGAGAACTGTGGTGACGTGGAATGCAATGATCACAGGATATGCAAAAAATATGAGATTAGATGAGGCTTTTATATTATTTGAAATGATGCCTGCTAAAGATATAGCCTCATGGAACACAATGATCACAGGTTTTATTCAAACTGGTGAGTTGGAGAGGGCGAGGAAGTTGTTTGTTGAGATGCCCGAAAAGAATGTGGTTTCATGGACAGCATTGATTACGGGATGTGTCCAATTGAAGGAAAGTGAATCGGCATTGATAATCTTCGCTGAAATGATAAGAGATGGTAATGTAAAGCCCAACGAGGGAACTTTTGTTAACATTTTGAGTGCATGTAGTGACCTAGCCGGTCTTAGTGAGGGACAGCAAGTTCACCAAATAATTAGTAAAAGTATCTTGCAGCATAGGGCATTTGTTGTGTCAGCATTGATAAATATGTATTCAAAGTGCGGGGAGCTTGGTATTTCTCAGAAGATATTTGATGATACAGCAGTTAATCAAAGGGATTTGATTTCTTGGAATTGTATGATTGCTGCCTATGCTCACCACGGATGTGGAAGGGAAGCGATTATATTGTTCGATCAAATGCAAAAATCTGGGTTTAAGCCTAATGATGTTAGCTATGTGGCATTACTTTCTGCATGTGTGCATGCTGGATTAGTGGAGCAAGGTCTGAAGTACTTTCAGGAGCTTCTCAGTGACGGGTCGACACAAGTAAGAGAGGATCATCATACATGTTTAGTTGATCTATATGGTCGGGCTGGAAGGTTGGAGGAGGCGTATGATTTTGTCAGGAAACTCAATCCTAAGGAGTCATCTTCAATATGGGGATCGCTGCTTGCATCGTGTACTATCCATGGGGATCTGAGGATAGGAAGGCTGGTTGCTGAAAGGCTTCTAGTTGAGGGGCCAAAGAATGGTGGCTCATTTTGGCTCATGTCAAACATGTATGCTTCTGTTGGTAAATGGAAAGAAGTTGAAAGATTGAGATTGGAAGTGAAGGATAAAG